AAACTGTTACGTCGTTTCGGTCACTTTTTGTAATACAACAACGGGAGACCCGATGGAAGGCGCCCGCTGAATGGTCAGAATCTCGAGGTCAAGACGCAGTCTTGGTTTGCATAATATTCGAGGGCCCATGCAATGTAAGTTTTAAAATGCAATCCTTGAAAATGCACCTTTAGCATTGTGTCCCATTTTAACCTTATTTTTAATTTTTGTTTTGCCCTAAGCCCTTTACGAGGGTTTTTGTTGCCTTTTTGGTCAGGTTGTTATGCTAATGCAAGTTTCCATATTCATGAGCAAAAGTGTGATATCATTTCAGGCAAAAACCTCTATGCTATACAGCTATTTCAGCACAATGAGTTGCCCGGGTTTTTTTGATATTTTGCAGTCGTAAATTTCCTTTTCTTTGGTGATTCGTTGTTGTGTCAGTACATGGCAGTAACCCAATTTGAACGCATAGCCCCATGCCGTCTCGGGCCAGTTTACTGGACTAAAATCCCTATATAAACTAACCACTTTCTCCTTTTAGTGAAATTATACTTATTCTCGCTACTTTACAAAACAGCTATTTAGGCAGCAGCTTCAGGACGAAAATGAGGCAAATTTCACCAAAAGGAGAAAATAAGGACGGATCCAGCTTTGGCTCAAGGGGCTTAAAGGGGGGGGGGGGGGGGGGGGGGGATTAGCACACAAGCCATTGTTCTACTTTTTGTTCTTTTTTTTCTGCGGCCCGGGGGTGGGGTTGGGTTAGACCCCCTAAACCCTCGTATAGATCCGCGACTTCGAGGTAGGCCTACTACAGATGAGGTGTGGGTATTAATGAAATAAATTAAAGGAAATATGTCGGTGGAGACAAAAATGACGTCCATACGAAAATAGGCCTATGCATGATTTTAGATTTTGTATAATGAATGTCATAATTATATACACCATTGGAATCTCTCCATGATGTAGCCCTACCGTACTAGCCCTGTGTAAATTGCACGATAAATTGCACGATACATTAAGATATTGTTCGTTCTTACAGTTCATAATTTAGCTATTTTAATCTTTTATTTATTTTTTCCGGGAAGTGGTTTAAGATCGGCTGTATACAGTCTTTTCCACAACTCCTGACATTGTCAGAAATGGTTATAACAATAATATCTTTGGCAAATAATACACAATAAGAGAGTTTATGTTTTGAGTGATAACATTGATGCACATCATATAGCAAATGCCCCAGGACATTTCTGTTGGGGAACACTTCACTTTCACGACGAGGTTCGACAAACAAAGGCTACCCCCTGGAGACGGCCAATCATGAAATCCTTACTCCATCATCCAGGGGAGGATACCCTTTTAATGTTGTTCAACTATGTATGGTTGAACCTAGTAGTTATAGTTGATGAAGAAGAATGTGATGTGGCTTTGCTATCAAAAGCCCTTTACTAAAAACAAACATCAATCCTGGAGGGACATGGTCAATTGCTTTATAGGGGCATGATGAACATTAAGTATATAGGCCTAACTCAGTGGCGGATTTCAGGAGGTGTGGAGGGCCCCTCTTCCGGCAGTGACCAACATTTTCTCAAAATAGGACAATTTTCCACTTGAGAGAGCCCTTCCGCCCCCCCCCCCTCCCCGGCACAGCCACAGCACCCCTCCCCCCCCCCCCCCCCAGTTGAACCCTCTCTGGATCCGCCCTTGTAACTGTGTAACACGTAATCAATGAGGGAGCAATCCATCCTGGTTTTCCGGAAGAAAATCAAATTGAAAATTCGAAACATCGCTGCCTTACATCAGAATCCAATCGTCTAAAGGGTTCGTTCGATTTCACGGTTGAGCATTCTTTCGACAAATTCGTTCATGTTGAATTCAAATGGTCGTTAAATCACGTATGTTAATTTGTGTTTTTCGTATAAAAGGCCAAGCCATGTAGCAAGAGGTTGGTAAATAATTCAATTTCATCAATTATTGGCAAACATTTTCCACGTGTGCTTTCAATTTCGACTGTGTTTACGTGCTCCAGATTCTTATTTTTTTCTTCTTTCATATTATATGAAATTACATATTTCATGCAGAATTCATTCGGAACTGCATGCGTGTTTTTTTGGGATATTACACAAACTCTGAATGCGTTTTTGAGTATGGATGGCGGCCATATTATTATGTCAGTACAGTACGAGTGTTGAGTGCTGATCGAAGCGTTATGCCGAATAAAAAAAACATGTTTCTCGTCCGGGTTTTTGAAAAAGAGGAGGAAGAGGGGCTTTTTATTTTTTATTTTTTATTTTTTTCAAGATGGTCGCCATTTTAAAATTTCCTGCAACCGTTGGTGTTTCCACTGTTCAAAGACACTTTTAATATGAAAGACAAGTTGGACAAGAAAACTGAACATATTTACAGTATCATTTAGAGTTGCATTGGTCACATATTTCGCAAGTATTTATTTTCCGATGAATTTGTGGACTTTTCTGGTGTTTTTTTACTGCATTTTTCAAAAATAAAAAATTATTAAAAATCCAGGCGGCCTCCAAAAAAGGAAGCGGGCGGGGACGAGAAACATGTTTTTTTTTACTTCGCCTTATTAAAGAGAGTATAAACGCCAACAAGCTGCAAAACGTTACATGAATATCACAAAATCGCCTTATAGCATGCATCAAGAGACTACATTATTTAATAGGACTAGCAATGAGATAATACAAAGGCACGAATTCTATCAGGGTGACCAAAAAAAAGTTGTGCAAGCAGATATCGTTAAATTTCTCAAAAAGTACCTAACATTTCATTTTGACATATTAATTATACTGGAGCATAATTATACTGCAGAATTTTAATTATACTCTTGTGTATAATCAGTGAAAATGTCATGGAAACCCATTCACGAAAACAAGAGCTGTAACAGATTATAAAGGTTTTTCAACCATCCCAATGGGACTAATTACACAGTGCATTGGGAATGGCTCTACCGGGACCCTGCTATGGGTCTTCTCATTAACTTAATAAGCCATTCAGGGTCAGCTGGGTGCAACTGAAAATCAGTCAATCTGACTAGATTTTTCCAGTCAGTATTATTGACTTTGGAAAAATAGTTTTGCAAATTACTAAAATTGGAGTCGAACCCAACTTCTTTTTCTAGTCATATTATGAAACTTTGCATGTTTAACTAAATTCCCAGTCAATTTTCAATAACTAGGAAAACCAGTCAATATTCTGACTAAGTTGTATTTAGAGTGCAGATATCGTTAAATTTCTCAAAAGGTATACCTAACATTTCATTTTGACGGAGCATATTAATTATACTCTTGTGTATAATCAGGGAAAATGTCATAGAAACCCATTCACGAAAACAAGAGCTGTAACAGATTATAAAGGTTTTTCAACCATTCCAATGGGACTTATTACACAGTGCATTGGGAATCGCTCTACCGGCACTCTGCAATGGGTCTTCTCATTAACTAAATTAGCCATTCAGGGTCAGCTGGGTGCAACTGAAAATCAGTCAATCTGACTAGATTTTTCCAGTCAGTATTATTGACTTTGGAAAAATAGTTATGCAAATTACTGAAATTGGAGTCGAATCCAACTTCTTTTTCTAGTCATGCTTACGCATGTTTACGTTACATACGTAGTGTGGACATTCCTTTGTTTTCGTGTAGTTAAGTAAAACCTCTGAAAAAAAACCCCTCATTTTACTCACACTGTGAAAACACTTTCAATCCAATTTGTTTTCTATGATTCCCTTTAGTGTTTCTCTTCATTTTGCCACCGATAAACCTAACCCCAAAATGCCTCTAAACCTGTTTTCCAGAGAGGGGGAAACATTGTGTGGACGTGGGCAAGTCCACCACGTCGCTGCTATACCTGGTTTATGTGGACCTCTTTTGTTTGGAAGTCCACACAGTGAATGTAATGCTTGTACAACCGGTGCACACACTGTGTCCAGCGTCAAACAGAGGGGGTTCGTGGTTCAATGCACCCGGCGGACTTGCCCAAAATTCGGAACAAAGGAAAAGGGGTGGTTTCAAATTTGCCGGTCAGGGTTTTCGATTTTTATTTTTTCAGAAGACGCTTGGTGCTGATGTGCGAGCGTGTATATAGCACGTCCATGATGTTGGCATACACCCTAAAAACAGATTGGTTGAAATAACCAATATATTGGTAGGATTGGTAGATGTGTGTCCAACCAAACCGAGATTGGTTAGACACATATATCTACCAATCCTACCAATTATGGTTGTCGTATCTATACTGTGCCGTTTCTCCCCACAAATCCTGTATATCAGTATGCACAATCGGTATAGGAACAGTCAGGCCTATACTTAAGACACAGTTATGTCCGGCGTGGCTGCGCATGAGAACAACATACAGATCGTTTCGTTGTTTTGCCGAAATGCCAGAATGGTTATTTTTAAAAGAATGGAACAGTCCGAGTAGGTCTGCAAATGAATGACCGGTACCCTAATCCGTGCGCTATTATATTATGCCCGTCACACAAGATGATCGGTCAAGTACTTTATTGGTCATGTGGTCATGCTGCGACTGCGCACTTGACACTGTGATACGCACACAGCATCCGCTAGCTTTGGCTCCTTAGAAACACACAACATCCGACATCAAATGTGAACGCGTTTCATTATTGCACCAGCCAGTCTCAGAGCATTTGTCTCAGAAGCAACAGTCCTAAACTCCCTTCAAGTTGATTCTCGGTGCGGTGAGCATAATATCTCTCTCTATCCGTTATTTTAACAATTGCGAAGAATGAAAATAACAATTTTTACAAGATGGGCCACATAAATTGAAATATTTTCACAGAATTTTTTTTTAAAGACATATTCACCAAATAATATTTGTGATAATTTTTGCACGATTTTCTTATGGCACAGGTCTATACAACGATTCTTTCCTGTTGCCAACTTTCAATACAAAAAGGAGTGTACCGTACTCCCGAAGAATTCTTGAATTCTGTTAATCCGTGTTATATCTTTTAATCTATACCCACATAGGACTTGCAGAAAAAAGTCATGATCGGGGCAGCATCAGAGCTGGTTCTGTCGGTGTTCCTTGTGGTTCTTCTGACTGGTACGGCACTCGTGGCAAACGGGTGCATCTTCGCCGCTTACTGCCGCAACACCAACCTTCGCACCGTGGACAATTACCTTTTCATGTTCCTTAGCTCTGCCAACGTCGTGGTGGGACTGTGCTATCCTCTTCAGTGCCTCGTGGACTTGGGGATCCTCAACTACCGCGCGGCCTGCCTGCCCCTGGCCTGCGTGCTCCTCGTCGTGGGCTTTCTCATAGCGTGGACCATCGTCGGCTTGACCGTGGAGCGGTACCTAAACATCCTGCATCCGTTCGCCGCTCGCACGATCCTGACGGAGAAGCGCGTCCTGTGTATCGTCTGCTTCATCTTGTTTTATGCCGCGGTGACCGGCGCAGTCGTTCCGCTGGTGATTACCTCCGCGAAGTCCAACATTTCGCCGGAGGTGGCCGCCAACGGGACCGCTTCGGGGCTCAACGAATGCCGTCTCGCCAATCTGGTTCCGTCTCGTAATTATCGTTACTTCTACCTGGCCAACCGAGTGGTGGCCATCCCGTTGTTCTTCGGCATTTACCTGAGAATCTTCCTCGTAGCACGGAGACACGTGCGAGCCATCGGCGTGCAAGTTCCTGCTCCTGCCAGCCAAGATGGGCCGTCCAACTACCAGAACGGCACCGGTAATGCCGCGGGTGGCACCGGCAACACCCAGCGGCCGGAGAGGCACTCCAAGGCCGGCTGGCGACGGCAGATCCGGCTGACACTGCTGGTCTTTGCCATCGCGCTCTACCAGAGTATTTGCTGGATCCCCCAGACCCTCTTGCTCATTCAACACCAGTCACCCCCGTCAATCTACTACACCCTGACGCACTTCGTCACATTCAGCACCTCGGCGACTTACCCCATCATCTACGGCCTGGGAAATCGAGACTTTCGTAAGGCGTTGACTAACCTGTTTGGTTGCAGTAACCGGCTGAACCGCCCGAGAGGAGGCGAAATGGTGTCGATGAGCCCTGAGGGCAGGGGAGGATCTAGGCGCACTGTCTGCACGATTCCCGACAATGGTGAGCCGTGATAATACCTTAATCGCACCTGCGAGTGGAAGAGATCGTCAAGAGACGAACCGATACTCAACAGAACATAATCCCGAATCATATCAAGATTCTCTCAGGAACGATTACTGCTTACTGGCATAGAAATAAAACAAATAGACGAAAACCATGAATAATGCAGCACACTGGGTTGCTGCGAAAATGCCAATTATGTAAAAGAAGTGACCTTTTTTCATCCTTTCCAGTGGTGCTTCAAACATAAAACATTTTACTGTAAGCCCACTATATGCAATTGTGTTTTATTAATTTTGCACATGTGTTTTTATACTATTTTTTTGACATATTTATGATGCTGAAAAGGTTTTAAATAGGACTAAAAGGATAAAATGCATGTTCACATGAAAAATGAAAAGGTATTTCCATCGACTTCATTTGCACTCTTGTCATATTACGTGCCTTGTTGTTTGATAGGACACAATGTGCTACATGCATTTCATGCACAATACATTGTACATGTAAATCCGATTGGAATGGACCAAAAAGGAGTGTATTGCATAATTGGCATTTTCTCAGCAACCCAATGTGCTATTTTCAAGGGGTTTTGCCCTCAGTTTTTGAAAGAAAAAGCTCTCAGCTTGAATTTGATACCCTACAATAACAATTCACAGACCAAGTTTTGGAAGAGTGTTTTTTCACTCTTTCACATTAAAGAGGGTAGGCGCGCAATCAAGAGGCGCATTTTCACCGATAGAAACTTCACACAAAACAACGGGTGCTGCAGGTGAGATCCGTTCCCTTAACGTTCAACATCAACTTTATATCCTTTCTGTGTAGCACTTCTATGCACTACAAAAGTACATCTGTGTACATGTATTATAGTTTACGAAGCAAGTAACGAGCCATGAAACTACAGTGTTTAAAGGGAAGATACAACATTTGCAAACATCAACAAACGAAATGATCAAATTATCACGAAATACCTTACTGAATTGTTAGGGACTGACATTCTAAAGCATCCTTTAAAATCGTGGCTCCTGGTGTGCTGACATTTTGAAGAAAAACTGTATTTTTCCAATGCTGGTCGGCCGACCAGCGTTGGAGAAAACTGGCTTTTTTCCAACAAGTGTTCCTTATTTTTCATATTTAGTTATTCTGACTTTTCTTTGCAATTGATTAAACACATAAGGGGTACAAGCCTGCTAGAGTGATTCTCTGACCTTACAATTCCCCAAAGTGAATTAATTGCTCCATTTCATCTTAAGTGGGGTCAGGGAACCAGACTACAAGAACATGATAGGTTTTCTTTGTTTTTCCAGCATCTACAAGCCCAAAACGTGAAACAAGTCAGTTAAACAATATTTTCTCTAACATACTAATCCTCCAAATCCATTTGTGTCTGAAAATTCCAGCAAAAGCAAATGTTGTACATTCCCTTTAAAGCCTTTGGTGTTAATAAACACGTAATAAATGGGTTTTTGTCTACATTCCGTGCGTTTACCTATAAATCCCAGTAAAGTTATGTATTAGTACATTTAATTATAAAATAAAATGTATGTACAGAAGACTGTGCTATTTTATCAAATAACAACATTTAAGATATTATTAAAGGTGTATTTTCATGTTGTAACTTTCACTTCTCAATAGGCCTATACAGCACATAAGTGTTTCTCACTTTAAAAAAAAACGATTAAAACAACGATTCTCCATTAACTTTAATGCCTCGAACTTTTGTGCAACGATTTTCCATTAATGCCTTAGCCATTTTGGAGTGTTTCTGTGATGTACATTTTTTTTTATAACATTAGGCTAAGCGTAATAAACACCATCTGCAAACTTTCAAAAACCAAACTGCCAAAATATTATGAAATCACCCCAAATACTTGATGGTATGAGTGAATACAACCAACTGACTGAAGCATCCTGTGAAATCGTTGCGCCTATACAGGGCGAGTTAAAAAAACGAAACCCAAATGTCGGGACCATTGTTTTAGTGAAGTTTTGCATGTAGCTCTTTCAAAATCTAGGATTATATTAGCTTGAGTATAACTCCAGCTCTAATGCTTATCGCATTAGAGCTGGAGTCACAACTACGTTACAAGAACTGGGTCGTAAGAATCCCGAAATCCCGGACTGTTAAACGGTCCATTTTCCCTTTATGATCCCGACCCAAATTCATACCTCATACGATTCAGCAGACATTCACGAAGCTAATAATCGACTTCAGGCAGAACAATGAAGACTAAAATATGAAATGTTTCGTTGATTTTGGTGGCGATTCTTCAGAAACCATGAGAAAACGTCGCGCGACACTATTCTGCCGACTGCAGTTGACCCAAAAGAAACCAACACTGGCCAATAAAAACATCAGATTTGCCTCAAAACGGCCTCCAAGTTACTAGATTCGCCACCTGAGGTACAAGGAGAGATCGAGATTAATTGAGAAAAAAAAGTTTCACTTTCCATCCGACTCGTAAGCAAACTTTAGTACCTCGATTTTAATCACCGATCTCTCCTTGTACCTCAGGTGGCGTATCTAGTAATTTGGAGGCTGTTTTGAGGTAAATTTCATATTTAAGTCTTCGTTGTTCTGTATGAAGTCGATTATTAGCTTCATGTATGTCTGCTGCATCGTATGAGGTATGAATTATGGAATCTGGGCTAGGATAATATAGGGAAAATGGACCGTTTTTGTAATGCACTGGGGATACAGTTCGGGATTTCGGGATTCTTACGACCCGGTTCTTGTAACGTAGTTGTGACTCCAGCTCTAATGCCATCCGCCCCCCCCCCCCTTCGACTTTTTCCGCGATAGCCTAAAAAAAAAAAAAAATTCTGCGACCCGAGCTGTTATTACTTTTTAGCCTGGAGCCTTGCGCATCTTTTGATACCAAAAACATAAAAATCGGACCACGGGTAGTAGTCGCGCAGCGAAAATTAGTCCGGCGCTACGCGCCATGAAAACTGAATTTCCCCTTATACGTGTACACAGAGCAGAATTAATATTCGTGCCTATGAATAATAAATTGGCCATAATTCCAAAACCCTTTGACCTATAGTCATGAAATTTCTTGGCTATGTTCATGATAAGTTGTTCTATGCATGTACCAAGTTTCATAATTTGTCGTCACTCGATGGCCGAGATCTTAGGGGGGGAGGGGCGGAATTCCCCTCCCCCTGGCCCTTTTAGGGTTAAAAACTATCCATTATTTCAGTGCTTTCCGCTGAACTATGTAAATCAACAGATATTACGTTTGCGTCAATGACTGAAAATGGCCCTTTCTTCACTCGCGTACACGCATTTAAGATGTGTTTTCGACTGCTTGTGAGCATGAGCATGATAATATTATACGACTTTTAACTTCGGAATAATAACGCAACTGAAATGCATGGCAACTGAAATGCATGGTAACCGAATCTACAAAATGCAATCTTTCATGCACGCAATCAATTAAACAACGAAGACAAAGCAAGCCAACAGCCCACAACTGAACAATGTATTCAACTGATTCAGACTGGACGTTCAACGTGAATCTATTCGTGCATGTGGCCTGCACTACAGTAGGCCAGATTTAGCCCATTCATTTCGTAAGTCTAATTCACAAGACTGAGATAAGTTAGTGAAAGAGCGAGTCAGGCACAGTACAGTTGCAAGAGAACAGGCCGCCCTCTGGGACGCACCAATAAAAGACTTAATTCCACACAACAAAACTAATGGATTATGAAAAGAACATTGTACAATGTACATGTACATCCTGTCTTTAGACATGGGGCCGACAGAATTTCGCGCGTGCCAAAATAGAAATGAAAAAAAAAATACAGGCACTTCTGCAATTCTGCTGGTACGGTGCATGCTCACCCTTTATTCGATACGACTTATTCATCCCGAGAGAAAAATGGTCAGATCATGATTTGCGCATGCGCGCTCACTTTTTGAATATCCAACTGTCTGGCTTTCGCTCGTACCCCCCGCCCTGCAAACAGGACGCTGGGATACTCTGATGAATTCACGCTCTGATTGGTTGGCTTTGGCGAGACCGTTGACCTGCGCGTCATCACGGTCATGACTCTGCAAGGTTTGAAACGGCCATTAAGACTGATTCATTACTCTTTTATTCCAGTTAAGAGATGTTTTTTTCTCGTTGAAAATCGTAATAATGTAGGAAATTCTGAAAAACTTATCTGTGTTGTAAATTTACAATTCCCGTCACTTGCTCAAGCTCCGTTTCGAATCACGAACGGTCGGATTGCATTATTCGACGCTCAAAATTTTGTCCACATTGTCCGCAATGAAACAGAAATTACATCCGGTATGGAACGGGTGCATTTCTGTGCGACGTTTTCGGATAGCATTTGCGCACATTGTCTAACTGCGGTCTTGAACAGTTGCAGCAAAATGCTTTATACATAGGTCATAGACCACTTCCTTCACGAGATTCTGTGAAGCTCATCAGCGTATCCAAGCGTCCTGTTTGCAGGGCGGGGGGTGCGAGCGAACGTCTGGTGGCTTTGTCTTTCAGTGCCCGATATTACCGCGTGATCCGCTAGCATTAATGACGTCATCACCCTAAGGCAAACTATCGATGCAGGACAAAAAAACCCGCAACACACTAGTCCGTAGCTGTTTAGGAAAGCAGACCAGTAAATAAACTTCCATAGACCCCAATGGTAAATGCTTCCACATCAGAAATTCGGGAAAAATACTCACAACTCTCCAAGGTGTTCGAGACACACATCAAATTAAAGCTTATTTCATGATCATCATCTTTCATTTTCTTTTCAATTTTCGGGGGGTCAACTGATGACTTTTAGGAGAAATTTCCATCCGAAGATGATCACCCCTGAAAATAGTCTGGAATCCCATTGCCATTTTGAAAAACGATGCCTACTGGGTGTTGGCTCCACGTATTTTCTTACGGTTTTTCATATTCAAGGCTTGCGTACTACCCATACGGTGCACGGCGCTATACGATCTTTGCTATACAATATTATTATGTCGACCCAACCTCTTTCCCAGTGCTTACTTTATTTCCAACCTCGTTTCCAATAGTGAGCCATGGATAGGAAACATTCTTCCTGTATCCTGATTCGATACCGCAATTGGCTAGAACATGTAGAAATGGATTTATATCGTGTACTTCGTGTGGGCAACCCGAGTTAACCTGAGCTAATCGAACGCAGCCCATGCATGATGACCATCCACTAACCATGTCTGCTGCCACCAAGCGTCTGGCAAGCTTTTTTCTTTACAATAATAACTAAACTGGACGTCTTCCGTAGTCAGATGTATATTAGGCCAATGGAATATACGCCATCGTTTCATCACGCGTTTCAAATTAAAGTCTGTGGCATTTGGAACTGGAAATTAACCAAACTGGATATGATACGAACTACGTAAAGTCCTTCTACAATAACAGTCATCTGAAGTACATGCTTTTGAGTCTACTTTTGCGCATTAATTTTGTACGGAATAATACGAACAACTTATACGGGCAGCCCATGCTCGCGATATATATCCTTTCAGATGTTATGCAAACTGTCTTTATATTAAGCCAATGACAGGCTTCTCGGGTTAAAACATGGTCGAGCGAACTGAGTTTATTCGCTGGTGGTACTCGAGGGCGGAAACCATCTCAGCTTATGTTTATAGGAACGAGTCCGTCTCCACATCGAATTGCACAAGTTCGGGATTGACCTTCCAGTCCGAAATCAGCTTCCCCATTGGCGGCCTGGGCTCTGACGTCATGTGGTGCAGCTCTTCCAGGGCCGTCTGGCAGGCAGTGCGCCATTTGTCGATCAGGTCTTGCAGTTCCGATAAGTCGTTCTGGAATGAGGACACATGAATGGCGAGAAAGTCACCGTCAGCTATTGTGCTTTTAACTATCATCGTGACGTGCAGTTGTACTTATATTAAAGGGACATTACGGCCTGGAATGCGCCCAAAATGCGTTTCAAACTAAATTATATTAACTGGATAGAACATTTAAAAGAAGGACATAAAATGTTCGCACAAGCATCCTTTAAAAACTGGGCGTTTTGTGTTATTCCTGCGAGAACCATGCGAGAACGAAATTCGGGGTTACAATTTTGACTCCGAAAAATCGAGCCGCTGACTATAGTATTACTAGTTGTGAATCCAGCCGCACGGTATCGCATTCTGCGGACGTGTATTGACATTTTTTGTGTTGGTGCTGTGTGTATTCGATATTCACACTTGCAGAACGTGAACTATACATTGAATAGATACGACTTGAAAATACGTATACAGTCGAACACCTTTATAACAAGGTCCTTAATTGGGACTTTACAAATTACCTTGTTATCAGGTACCTTGTATTAACAGTATTGGAAAACACAAGGGGGGGGGAAGAAAAACAAAGACTTGGGACCTAAAAGTTTGCTGTTATAAGCGTGACGTTGTATTAACAGTGCTCTTCTTATCAGTATGTTCGACAGTATGTGTATGCCAAAAAATGTCCGTCGCGTCCAATGTTAACAACCGGTTTTTTTCGTTTTTTTTCTTCTCGAGAACGGTAAGACATTAGGTATGTTTCCATTCAACCAGACCTTTGAAATAAGATAGGTAAACAATCCAAAACATGACATTTTCGTAAACCAATGTCTTGATTACGAAGGATGCAGACAAGGATAGATCAACTCACAACAGCTAGGAACTAAAACTGTGTTTTTGTTTCAGATGTATAGGCCTATAGGCCTACAACAAATATATGCCTATGTTGTAAATATGAAGTTTGTTGCATGCGAGCCTCCATTAACATTTTTGTGATATTAATGGTGGACACATTAATAGGAGCGCGCTATATTTACTTTGGGGAAACTCCTTACCTATTTCTGTGGCCTCAACCCAATTTACGTAAACCAAATAGCGCCCTCCTATATTGTGTGTGCCACCGCGAACGAAATGCTTTAAGCTGGTAAAACCACATGTAGGCTAATTTTGACTCACCTTTGTTCGGTACATTTTGACCATTTTCAGCTTTCGGAGTCTCTCCATGTCAGCCGCGACCTGTCTCAGTAACTCCTCTCGCCGCAACTTCAGTGCTGCGATGTCCATTTTATTGCCATCAGTTTTTCTCAGATTTTGTTTTAAATTTCATATCGTACTGCAATACTGCAACAAAGTAAATGTACCAAGTTATTAATGGCGTGTCAATGTCATATCCCTCGAAAAAAAAATCCATCCCAATATAGGCAATACATGTACTACGGAAGACGGATAGCCACTCAATGAGTGTGAATACATTTTTTTGGTGCGTGTGAAAATATTTTTTTTTGTACAGCGGCCGCCACTTATTATGTTGCGGCCGCCAGATAATAAGTGGCGGCCGCCACATAAGTCGTCATAATTAGTGGCGGCCGCTGTACACAAAAAATATATTCACACTTTTTTATGTGGCGGCCGCCACTTATTATCTGGCGGCCGCCACATAAAAAAGTGTGAATTTTTTTTTTTGTACGTGTGAAAATATTTTTTTGTACAGCGGCCGCCATTTATTATGACGACTAATGTGGCGGCCGCCACTTATTATCTGGCGGCCGCCACATAAAAAAGTGTGAATATATTTTTTTTGTACGTGTAAAAATATTTTTTTTTGTACAGCGGCCGCCACTTATTATGACGACTTATGTGGCGGCCGCCACTTTAAGTGGCGGCCGCTGTACAAAAAAAAATATTTTCACACGCACCAAAAAAATAAATTCACACTCATTGAGTGGCACTATCCGTCTTCCGTACGATACGCCCTTTATAATGCCTATGCCTATGAAACCAGTTACGCTTTGATATTAATTGACAGTGGACGCCGGAAAATTTCGTTCGTCCACTTTTAATTTTGCATGACGAGTGCCACACACACCTTTTTAACAAGAATTGTAAGCGCTAAGCAGTGTGCTTTATAGAACTGCGTGCATGCCACAGTAAGCTGCATGCACAGTTTTGCAAACTTTTGCGTTTCCCGCGGTTAGGCTGCATAATGCATACAGCATGATTTTGTAATAATTGTGTTCGTGACCTGTGACCTTTATCTGCGCCACTCTCGCGCGCGAGCTAGCTCAGGCTGTACTCAGTACATCGTGCATGTGGTTTGTACAGTTCTTACACTTGCTTGTCAAGTGCTCAGTCATGCATGGGCAAAAAAATGCACTTCGCTTGATGAAAATGCTAAAACAATCTTTAACTCAATGATGAGATAATATACTCGTCTGAAGCTACGAACCATGATGGTGCAGTTTCCTGACGTCAGAAAATGCTGTGCTGTATCAGACGAAACCATTAAATATAAAAGGGGGAGTCAAGATGTAATGATTATGTAAAATTAGAATGAAAGTAAATAAATTGGTGAACAAAAGCAAGTTATCACTGTAGATATGCATTTTATCACAAATAATGTTATATTGGAGTTCGCACACCTAAACCAAAGGAATTGTTTTCCGAAGTTGATCTATTGTAAATTGTCAACCAAAACGTGTACCCCCACAGTAACATCGACTGGCCCAAAGTAGTCACGTGACAGGCACACTGGTTGCGAGACAAGATGGCAGCCTTGGCTGAGAGAAACGTGGAGTGGAGCTTCACTGTTTTGGAAGCCTAATTATTTCCACGAAATAATGCTGACACCACGGAACATCCAGCCTCCTAGAATCCCCGATAGTCTGCCGAAAATCCCAGACTATGATTTTGGCGCCGCTCGCCGGCGCGTCATGGACAAAGACAGTGAAGAACACAATGCTAATCAGCACCACAACAGCGCCGGTATCGCAACCAATCTGCTCGAGTTGGCAGCGGCAACCATTTCGGAAGAGCTCGAGTACGAGTACGAGGGCCTGCCGGAAACCACCACGCTAACCACTCACCTGATGGCCGGTGCGATAGCCGGGATCATGGAGCATTGTGTTATGTATCCAGTGGATAGTGTTAAAGTGAGTGCTTTGAAATGCCGCTGGAAGTGTGGATGTGGAAAGGGGAGGAGCAAATGGATTTTGCAAAGTTTATCATTTGTGGGAGTTAAATTGCAGTATCCACTCAGCTCCGTTCAGAGAGTACCCCTTCACTGGCAAAGAAAGTACAGTCGGGGGTGACCGAACGATGCCATCTTGCCTTACTGCAATATTTTGCTGCAAAGCGTGGCACGCCACTGCGTGTACATAGTACAACAAGTACCCTGGTCTACATGCGTCGCACACAAGAAATGGTGCGCGCGTCAACCAGCGAAATGTTGCGCAATCGGTAACACATCCATGAACGGGTGCAAGCCTGACCTTACTATTCCCCAATGTGACGACCTCTATAAATTGATCCGTTTCATCTGAAGTGGGGACAACGACCGAAAAAACTAGAGTTGAGTCATGGAGCGGCCGCTGTATATTTGTACCCCAAGAGTATGCCCAGTACTTCATGACATACTCACGTTCAGTCCGCTTGGTTGAATCGATCCCGATGGTGCAAAAAAATTATGAAAACAGTCCCATTTCCGTACCGAAGCTACAGTTTTTAGTTTTAACGTGCACGCGAAGCGTGAAGTCACGCCAACAACGCTTCGCGTGCACGTTAAAATGTTGAAACTCAAACTGTAGTTTTGGTACGGAATTGGGACTGTTTTCATCATTTTTTTGCACCATCGGGATCGATTCAACCCTTACACTAAGCGGACTGAATGTGAGTATGCATAGTCTTGGGGTAAAATATACAGCAGCTGCTCCAAACTCAACTTTAGTTTTTTTTCGGTCGTTGATTGTATATTAAGGATAGAGTATACAGCATGGTTAGCGTTGATATGCCTATCTGTGGATATTGTGTAGCAAGACCCATAGTTCTAGGGGTAGAGTCAGGGAACCAGACTACAAGAACAGCATTTTTTTTCTTGGTTTCTCCAGCATCTATGAACATAGCCCGACTGCGTCTGGCCGTACAGTACTATCGCAAGCTCTGTAGTACGGCCAGACGCCCGATGCTTCCACAGAGACTGAATTTTGTTGGCCTCCGATGTAGCGATTTTGCTACATCTTTCGATCGCGATTATCTTTTCATCCAGGACACAAATTTCCAAAGTTAAGGTTCGTAGTCGTAGAGCAACTCATACCTTTTCGAAAAAACGTTGTTTGGTCTCAATATTTTCATCCATCTGGCCACAAGACGAATTTCAGTCATCAGATTCCACAAATATCGTCCCCCATGCGATCCCCCATGCGATTTCAAAATGGCGGCCGCGCTGTAATGTATGCAATATGCAGGCACGCCCGCACAAACTCATGAATATGCATAAACAGTCTTTGACGTATGACCCCGTGTTTTTGGACGTGCGTGCGGCGGGGCCGTACGTCCAAAAACACGAGGTCATACGTCACAGACTGTTATGCATATTCATAAGTTTGTGCGGGCGTGCCTGCATATTGCATACATTACAGCGCGACCGCCATTTTGAAATCGCATGGGGGATCGCATGGGGGACGATATTTGTGGAATCTGATGACTGAAATTCGTCTTGTGGCCAGATGGATGAAAATATTGAGACCAAACAACGTTTTTTCGAAAAGGTATGAGTTGCTCTACGACTACGAACCTTAACTTTGGAAATTTGTGTCCTGGATGAAAAGATAATCGCGATCGAAAGATGTAGCAAAATCGCTACATCGGCAGCCAACAAAATTCAGTCTCTGTGGAAGCATCGGGCGTCTGGCCGTACTACAGAGCTTGCGATAGTACTGTACGGCCAGACGCAGTCGGGCTACTATGAACACAGAACTTTAAATAGGTCGGTGTAACAACGTTTGCTATAAAATACTAACCCTCAAATCCATCCATTTCTGCAATTTCCAAGGACTCGGCCCTTATAAGTATCGCCGATGAAGTTGCATTCTTGGTCTATCCTGCTTGAGAGAAAGGCCTATTCTGGACCAGACTGGGACCTTAAGTGTTTGAAACGATGCAAAAGAAGATCAGGCCAACTTTACTCGCTCTTTAGCCAGCAAAATTCTCCAAAACTGTCAGTGTCATTGTGGGAAAGAAAAGGTCCTCAGTATTTCACCAACCAAGTTTGAAGCTTCAATTACATTTTTAAAAGGAGACTTTTCTTCAATATTTGGCAGTGGCTTGCACATGAGAGGGAAGTCAAATGATTTCAAAATGAGGCTAAAGACTAGACTTCTACATGTCCATCCATGGTCCAACTGTTTGACAAGACTGACTTCTTCATTCATTGTCATTAGTCAGGTGCCTGACTATGGAGAAATGTGTAGAAATAGTGACCTAGTACCCGACATCCTAGATATTTCTTTTGGCACAGTCAGCTGACAGTTGATTGATGCAGTACTGAAGAGTTGTTGGACTGGTTGTTTCAGATGCCAGTCTATTTTCTTGTAATTGCATGTTTTCAATACCTTAAGTTTTGGGACTCTCATACACAGTATTGAGAGTCCCAAATTTTCGGACTAATTCTGGACCAAATATACTAAAATTACTAGTCTCTGATGCTCATTAACCATATGGCTATTTATCGTGTTACGTCAGATTACCATTGTCGTGTATTTTGGTTGGAAAAAAAGCTTAAATGTGAGGGTATGTGCTTATCCACCCAAAGCAGTGGCATTGAACTGCATGCTGGCATGGATTTTCAGAGGACAAAATAATGATCAGTCATTTTCCGACCGTTTTGTCTGTAAAAATTGATGTGCTCTGTCGAGATCTTTACTGATACCGGTAACTACATGTATCTACATGTACATGTAATTTTATGCTCTGCATGTGGTTGTGATTGTTCACAATTTTTATGGTCCAGTCATGGTCCAATTTGTCATGGTCAATGAAAACCCTGAAGTTGATCAAACTCTATATTTAACAGCTTTGTAATTTGCCTACTACAAAGTGACACCATTTTGACTTTAAAACTTTTTTTTTAGGGGGGGGGGGAGAAGGTGTCTGAGCTAGGTTGCAAGGCCAAACATGAAATAGCTACATGTAGCACGGCACAAGAACGTTAGATGGTGCATACTGGTACATAGAGTGCATACTATGCCTGAATATTTGCAGTGAAACACGTATTCAACTTTGCAGGATGTGCATGTATATATCCCTCCTATCCTATTGTATATTTGTTTGTTCTGAACCAGTCATTGGCAAAATGTGCCTCAAAATACTGCCTAGTCATGGAACAGTGCATGTATTATGTAAGTTAGCTACGGTAACAATGGCTGGCTTAGTTGTTGCCTCAGGGTGTTTTACGAATGTTTGAACACTGTGCTTGATTTATGGGATTTCCAATTCATAGTTGCCATCTATGGAATTTGATCTAGCATCTTTTGTCATATGTGCCAAGTTTTTTGTTTTTCTTACCAATACTCCATTGGAATTGCTTAAAGCTATAGTCCATCACTTGCAGCTATCCGAAATGTAACTGGCGTAATTATTGTTGGAAAACATACATGTACTTGGTTGAAAGATAATAAGGGGACTATGCTCCCTGTGAAATTATTTCTTTCTGGTAAGCTGTCATCTTGAAGTAATCAACGAAAGAAGGCCTTTCCAATGGTGCTTCTTAAGACGCACCGTAGAAAATTTATATTAGTAGTTCGTTTTGTTTTTCGGCGAAGTGCGCGCAAGCATTGGCACGAGGCACACGCATGCGCGGTTGCTATAATTCGTCGGATCATTGCGCGACATCGCGTAGCTGCAATGGGCCAGTGAGAACGTGTCTCAGTCGCTGAATTCAGGCCCAATTCCAAAACATGATTCAGCAACTTTTGATTTGAAATTGAGATCCTAGAATGCTGTTTTTCTCGGAATATACAGCTGAAGCTGAGCTGAAACTTTATCAGGTTAGATGTTCAGTACCCTTCTTTAGATTTTGAGCACTTTTGTTGCTTCAAATGAACACAATGCACAAATTACAAATGATGGACTATATCTTTAAGAGATTTCCCTGAATCCTGAAAAATCAAATTCTAAATCCATTAAAATGTTGAAACCAATCTCTAGATTTGCATGGAAATTGTACATGTACATGTACAGTAGAGCAATAACATACATTGTACATGTGAACATGGTTTCATAGTGTTAGTTTCCTGCACATGACAATATGTGGCAGGGTTTTGTATTAATTTTGTGGACTGCTGTTTTCTTTCCAAATCTGTTGTGCTGGGTAAGGGTTCAACTTAAAGTAAACGTTTCCAAGTGTTTGCCTTGACTATGTCTGTTTGTACAGTACCGATCGATAAGATATCAATTTGTGAGCTCTCTGTGGGCTTTTGCATGGCCTGTGGCTTGTTATGCGAAAAGTATCGGCCACGCCTGTTTCATTCAGGAAAATGAAAACAGATAATCGCATGACTGAAAGATAAAGTTGTATAACCTTGAATGATAACACTCACACAACACGTTGATAGTGTAAGCTTTTGAATGAACTTTGTTCCGTAGATTGTTCTGTGGACTTGGCTGGTCTAGGTATTGAAACCAAGTTCTCAAACAATTGAAAATGAAAAGAATCATTTGGTGAACTTCAATCCCTTGCAGAAAAAAAATGTAAATCTGTTAAAGCGTTAGTGATTTATTTCTTGTTGGGAATCTGTCATGTACTGATGTAGTTGACCCAGGTTTTGCTTTTTTGGGGGGTGGGGGTGGGGCTGCTAGTCCCCTGTTGTCATAACACCTCAAGACACTGTTTGTGCCCTGTTAGAATATAGAAAGAAAAAGTGACAAATTGGAAAGTTGAACTTTTGGGGATTAAACCTGCCAGAACACGTGTACCGGGTTACTGTACGGTTCTTGGTTCTTGGTTGGTTCATCTCCTAAATACTTTGCGTGGGAGTTTATACAGGAGACCAGAAACACCGGGGTAAACCCCTTCTCTTAACGATAAGTGTCACTGGGCTCTGTTACGTGCATTGGATTACACAACACACGGGACCTACGGCTTTACGTCCCATCCGAAGGACAAAGCAATAATGGTTGAGTGCCTTGCTCAAGGGCACAAGTGTCCACCCGGCAGGCCACGTCACTGTTGCCTCTGAAACACCTGAGCATGAGTCCGGTGTTCTTAACCGCTAGGCCATGACACTCCACCTGCTAAGCGGGTTCATACTCTGGAGGTTCATACTCTGCTACTGTCAATTTCTTTGTTCAACTTTCTCATTATTTCTTATTATTATTTATAGACAAATCTGGTTGCAGCCATTTTCTGTGGCGGCACCAGGCTCACGCGAGTCACACTCGGGGCGTACTCATACCCTCTGGGCTCCTTAGACCAAGAGGAGTACAAAAATGGGCGTGCCCCTCATCTTTTTCGCTCGTACCCCCCGCCCTGCAAACAGGACACTGGTCAGGGCTGACGTCATTTGAGCTCTCATTGGATAGATTTGCGTGACCTGTGACGTAGAACGCGTCACACAAACTAGCTTCCGGTGCCCATCATGCGTAGCGCGCGCTAGCTGCATGCGAAGGTCAATCTGCACTTCCTTCACAAGATTCTGTGAAGCTCATCAGCCCTTACCAGCGCCCTGTTTGCAGGGCGGGGGGTACGAGCGAACTCATCTTTAAGAAAGCGTGCAGCATGCGCGTGAGCGTGACAACACCTCCGTAAAGTCTTCTAATTCTGGTCGCAGGATTCCATTATGCACCTAGTCGATTTTCCTTTTCATTTGAAGAAGTAAATAAAATAATTACTACAAATATTTTTCCTTTGTTTTGCCCAACAGACGAGAATGCAAACTATACGACCGTCACCAAACGGCAGGTATAAGAACGTTTTTAGCGGCCTGGCCACCATCGTGCGCAACGAGGGGCCGTTTGGTGTGGTCCGAGGGCTCAACGCGGTGGCCCTTGGGGCGGGGCCGGCCCACGCTTTGTACTTCGCCTGCTACGAGAAGATGAAGCACATGCTGAGCACCCGACCCGGACAGAATCCACTCGCCAACGGTATGTTCATTGGGAGCAGGAAGCAAGTTTTATTTTATTTGTGCTTGGCCTTCCAATTTCTCAGAGGCCAGGGGCCGATTCCTCAAAACTCATCTCCTCTGAGATGAGTCCCCACTCTGCGATCGATCTTAGCTAAGACGCGTCCTAAGACCGATTTCACTAAACCCATCTTAAGCAAGACGCATCGAAACTACCAATTTGATGGCTGTTTCGTGTTTGTTTTTACCGCTTGAAGAAACAGTCGTTGAAAAGAAACATGCAAAACCAATTTCGCGCGCGTGTGCATAAACACGAAGTTTCGTCAGAAGATGTATTCACTGAATAAATTTCACACGCAAGGTAGTTCTACACAAGATACGATAGAGTCATTCTTGCTCCCCGTTTTCATCACTCTATTTTAAAAAGTCGACTAGGTGTTGGCGTATAATTTAATTTTTTAAATAAGCTATTTTTATTAAAAGTACCCATATATCAGAAATCTTTTCAAATCTATTTCTAGGCCAGCACTCATCTTTAACGGCAATGATTTCCAGAAGATATACATGTACAACTTAACGCACGCATTATTGAGATAAGACGACCATCAGACCCATCTTAAGTTAAGATGAGTTCAGCCATGTTGCTAAGGAAGTTAGGACGTGTTGAGCACCCTAAGACAAGTGGCGAGACAAGACGACTTACCTTTCCTAAGATGCGTCTTAGCGTTTCGTGAAATTGGCACAGAAGCATCAAAGGCCATAACTACTCGTCTGTACAGTAGCTTCTGTGTCCGGTACTGTCCACCATTATGAACCCTAAAATATCAGAAATCTTGTTTGAAAAAAAAATCACACTTTAATACCCAATTTTTTTGAGCAGTTGTTTTTGAAATTATACCACAAAATTAATTTCGATGTCAAGCAGTTAACATTCTCCAGCGTGTCCAGAGCACCGTGTGCCCTTCAAAAAATATTTACTGTCAGTTTTACATACATGTCCTCATGTTTTTCAAACTATTTTGTTTGGTGATATATTTTCCGGTTATATTTTGTAACACAACTAGTCTGTCATCTTGTTCCACACAGCAGTGACCTACTTTTGAAGTGACAGGTTTTGGTACTTTGAAAGCAAAATTTGGTCAGTGTACTTAACAGGCATGCCACTTTTCCTCGGATCTGCTGATTTCCTCGTTTTTTTTTACTTCTCGTGAATGCCATTACAAATTGAAAAAGAGTGTACAAAATATTGTGTGGTTTGGAAGTTCCTCGTTTTTTTTCTTCTAAATTACCAGTTGCATGCCTGACTATTTAACCTGATGAGCATCTCAGTCAAAATTCCAGGTTGATTCCAGGTTGTTGCCTCAGTGATGTCTGATTTCTCCGAAAAAGTGCCTAGCCAGGTACTTTTCAAGATTGGGAATAATTGATACAGTAGTAAGATATCTACCGCTACTTGTACAATAAAATTAGCCCCCCGGATTATGGGATCGGGTACCGTAACCAACTTTACAAATAACTTTTCAGACAATGAAAAAGAAGGGTTTTGAATGTCATTTGTTGGGAATTTTCAAAATGAACACCAGGGCCCAATTTCATAGAGCTGCTTAAGCAGAAAATTTGCTTGAGCACGAAAAAACATTGCTTAGTAAAATTAGGTTACCGGCCAAAACTTCATGTGATGTATATTGCTTGTGACTGGTATTTAGCTGTTGTTTACTTAGCATAACAATCGCATGGAGTTTTGGCCGGTAACCTGATTTTATTAAGCAAGACGTTTTTGTGCTTAAGCAAATTTTTCCTTTGTTTTATTTTAAGTTCTGGTAGGAGCTTTTACATGTCACTTAGTGTTCGGTCTGTCTGTCTGTCGGTCGGGCGGGCTGTCTGTCTGTCTGTCCCCGAAAATTGACCAAAAGTATGGTGTTCCATATGTGCCATCGGCGTTTCTGGCAGGGATCATTTTGATTGATTTCATGCCAGACTTTCATGCAAGACTTCTTGCAACACGGCCAGAGCTTATTGTGCACTTGCGCTGTACAACATCTTCCTCGAACAAGGTGGACGCCATTTTGTGTAGTGGTTGAATGGAATCCAGATTGAGGAAATGTCCCCTAAAGGTGGGCGGGGTGTGATCTTTAAGCTCGGGCAGGAGCTTCTACATGTTACTTGGTGGTTGGTCGGATGGTCTGTCTTTCTGTCTGTCTGTCTGACCTGAAAATTGACCAAAAGTATGGTGTTCCATATGTGCCATCGGCGTCACATTTTTCGCCAGAGCTTATTGTGCACTCGCACTTGTTTTTAAATTTCTTGTGGGGTTGGATTTAATTCCTGGAATGTGGGGATACTGTGTTGATTTCTGTCTGTCTTTCAGCTTGTGCGGGGAGCCTGGCGACACTGCTACACGACGCTGCCATGAATCCAGTAGAAGGTAGGTCATGTCTCAGCCAAATAGGTATCAGGAATTGTTTGTCTGGCCATTTTAAAAACAAAACTACCAAATTAGTATGAAAATACGTAAGTGAATTATAGTTTCAAGCGTCCTGTGAAATCATGACAACTGGTGTGCTGTCATTTTCAAGAAAAGTGGGATTTTTGTATCAATTTCCATTTTCCAACGATTCACCAATTTAATTCACCAAACTTGGTCAGTTAGTTGAATTGTACATGTACATGTAGAACTTTTCACGAAAATGGGTTTGAATGCCTTCCTTCAAGTTATGTAAAACTTCAAAATGGAGATTGGGTTTACATATATGTGTACATGTACATGTACATAGTGACTTGTCTCATGTATGTACACGTGCACAAAAATTGAATCCTTTTTCAAAAACAAATTTGGTGGCAAAATAAAATGATATTTTTGTCTTCAGTGCATGGACACTACATGTACTTAGTATGAATTATACTTACAAATGTAGGCCAAAAAACATAATAGTTCTGCTTCCGGTTTCCCTACCTACATGTACCCTATTCTGACAGCCCCTACCATTTTTTTTTATGGGCAGAATGAGAAAAAAAACACCCCAAACCATCAAATTCTAAGTTTTACCCTTGACTACACGCAGACGCCTCCATATGATTGTACCCAAAAAAAATTGGCCCAAAAAAAAAATAAAATTCCCTACCTACCTACCCTATTTTAGAATGCCATGTAATCAGAAGCAGAACTATTATTTTTTCTTGGCCTTAAAATTTTTACAGGTGTGGGAGTGTTTAAATACAGTGAGCGTGTTCATTTCAATACCATTTGGTTTGCACATTAAAATAAACTGTGCAGTTAGTTTGTGACTGCGGAATAACATTGCCCATACTACATGTACATTTGGCCAAAATTATAAATACATGTTTAATACTTAACACTTCAATCACAGACCTTCACTACCGGTACTGTATTTATTCATTTAGTATCGCGTCTGGTCCATTTAATGACCTGTAACATATGGTCACATATGCTTGCCTAACTACACTACATGCGTACCTATAGGATGTGAAGGGCATTAACAAGTGATAAAATATCGACAGTTGATTGATAGTTTTCAATAAAATTTGCATTTTATTAAAAGTGCCGCCATAGTGCCCACAATTCCAAGCCAGGTATCTAATCTAATCTTTTTCCGAATGCATACTATCCAGAAATAATTCCGTCTGACGGATTTTGCCCCGCTCATGAGTAATTAAAGATGTGTGCATTTGAGTGAAACAAAAATGCACCCTGTATTTTGTTTGGTCATCCAAAACTTATTTATTATACTCCATACATTGAGATTGATGTGCATATCAAAAGATATTCATCTAGGAGCTGGATTCATAACTTGACACTTTATGAAAATTCTCTATATTTGCTTATGTGCTGTTGAAAAGCTAAACAATTAGCAATTCCATTTGAATACTAAATTTTATTTTGCAATGACAGCCTTTATTGCTCAGGCAGTATGTGTTAAATCAAAACCTGTATCAAAATAATGACATTCTAATTGACTAATGTTTTGTTTTTATGTTTTTCCTCCTTTGCAATGACCATCCCTGTGCTGTTGTCATGGAAACGCCTGATGGTTGATTACCCGTTGATCCATTATCTGCTGCGCCACCTGCGATCCAACGTGGCCGCCACCGACATCGCTAATTTGGAATGGTCAACATCTCTTGCTGAAAAAAAACCACCCATGTTTTGGGATCTGTCATAAGTGATCAAGCAACGCATGCAAATGTTCAAAAGCCCCTACAAGAACGTGACTGAGTGCGTTCGGACCATAGTCAGGACAGAGGGCATGCATGCATTCTACCGCAGCTACACCACGCAGCTGACCATGAACATACCCTTCCAGAGCATTCACTTCGTCACCTACGAGCTCGGGCAGGAGACGCTCAACCCAGCGCGGGAGTACAACCCGACCAGTCACATGGTCTCGGGGGGTGTGGCTGGAGCCGTGGCGGCCGCCGTCACGACCCCGCTGGACGTCTGCAAGACCTTACTCAACACGCAGGAGAAAGGAGTGCTGAACTGCGGCGGCAAGCACAGGACAGAAATCAAAGGCATGGTCAATGCCTTCCGGACGGTCTACCGCATGAACGGGGTCAGGGGTTACTTCAAGGGCCTCCACGCCCGCGTCATCTTTCAGGTGCCCGCCACGGCCTTATCTTGGTCCGTCTACGAGTTCTTCAAATACTTCATCACCATGTCGAGGGCACAATCATCATGATCTCTTCACCGATCAGATGCTATTTGAAACGCACACAAAAAGGCGCACAAATTAGATTTTCCAGAAAATATTGGGTAAACACCTGAAAAGAACGTTTTTTATATAATTCTATTAAATTAGGTGAAAATATATTGAAAATTTAAATGTAGAACTGACAAGTAGGCTTATTAGGAGCTTCTGACAATGTAGAGTATTTCCCAGGTTGAGTACTTTGTGTACAGCAGTATTTTCTGAACACCATACTTTTTTTTCTATGAGCAGAGGACTTTGAATTGAAAAAAACAATTTTGCAGTTGGAACGGAAGTTAGTGAGAGATGAAGATTGTGTAACAGATATTTGTCATATTTTGTTGTTTTGGGGAACGAATCTGATTGGAAAGCATCATTGACTGATTCAAACACTGCCAATAAGAAAAACAACAATCAGGGTGACCTTAAGGTCATGGCAAAATTCTGCTAAATGTGCTTCAAAAATCTGTCAGATTTATCAAAAATCTTGCAAATTCCCCAGAATTACTCAAAATACACTATAAACACTTAAAATCACATACAGATTTGTAGTATTGCCTTAATTAGGGTTCAAATTACATTATAAACAATCTTTAGTCGCTTAAAGATGTTATGAAATTACTGCGTAAATTTCAGGCAAAACGCGGTTGTGTCACAACGAAGTCCGGTTCCCAGTGAACCTCAGCACCTAGACCTGCCAACCTGTCCCCATTATGCAAGGGTTTGTTTGAACAGACTGAAGCTTTTTTAAACAAATTACCATGTTTTTCAAATTTGCTATGGTTTTCTATCAAATAACCATTTTTGCAGAATTCTGCCAGAAATCTGCCCCCAAAAATTCATTCTGTCAAATTTTCTGTCAAACTCATTTTTTTTTACAAAAAATCTGTCAAAGTTAGCCGAAAATCAGCTTAAACGGTCACCCTGACAACAATTGAAACTCGGCATTCAAAGAGTCAATAATGTGAGCATTTGGGAAAAAAAATACTGCACTTTATTGGGACAAAGTCTATGATGGCAAAATAAAGTCTGTATAATTTCACAGCTGCGGCTTTGCTAGAACAATCAAAAGCACGGCTTATGTTTGCATCTGTCTATATTAATTAATAGTCATAATGATTGTTTTGTTACTACCTGGCACATTTTGTTTTTACCAACAAGTCGTGTGGCTGTTTGGAGTAAAAACACAGAATCCCCCGGCTCCCCCCAAAAAATCACAAACAGTTAAGTTGCAAAGTTGGTGTGTGTAAGCGTCCATCTACAGATAGCAAACTACGTGTACATGTAAATACCATGGCAAACGTAGAACATGCTTTGAGGATTGGTTTGGGTGGATATTTTTCTGATCCGTTAATAATTGTGCAACTTTTTAAAATTAATTTTAACCCATTTGCATTTGTATGCATTCAACCGTATTAGTAGTAACGGGCATGGCGGTTTGGGGTGGTACAAAGACTAAAAAAAACCAGCAATTGTTGTAAAAATGACTAAATGCTGCCTAAGTTGTAAAATTTAAAATCTGGTGCGATAACATTGATCGACTACCCCCCCCCCCCCAAAAATACACGTTTGTCTGAATTTAGCAAAGATTTAGATTAGATATTTTACAGAAAGGTAGACAGTATGTGCAATTTTGTTTTCACACAAATTTCCACTGGAAAAAAGCAAACTGCTAGTTTAATAGTAAAAATAGTTTTAAGCTTCAGGTATGAGTGGATGAGTTTAAAAAGGTTGAAGCTACACTGTCTATGTGGACAGAACATGTGGAGACTTGGGCGGCTATTGTGCCTGTCGGAAGCTGACGTGAATGTCGTCACCAAGTACAATGTAGCGTGGTCTTTATATACTCACATACACGTATACTATTATGGCCTCTGATTTGTTTGAAAAAAACAAAATCTGAACTTCTTTAAATGACCAGAGAATTCCTGCTTGGGATGTACCAATAGGCAAGTTCGATATTCCAACCGCACATGTGCAAATCCAGATTTGCTGATTTTTCTTTTGGCGTAAAAATGTCATCGCGTGCGCGCAAAAGCATAGAGGGGTACCAGCAAAATTGAACAGATCATCGCGTTCTGAAGTATATTGCAAAAAAGATTTTGGACAGCGAAGTGTTTTTAGGTGTCTTGTGTGTAAAAACTTTTGTGTGAACGAAAGTTCCATCTCTTTTTGATTGCACGAAAAATGACACATAATGCAGATTTGGTTACCACGGCCCCTATAGCCTTGTGTGCACTTATCTGCCACAGTTAACCCGAAAAAAAATCGTTGAATCTTGCTGTGCACCAGACTATTTTGGAATACCGAAACTGGCTGATTGAATGAAAATGCAATAAGGCCAGTGTTTTTTTTCTTTGTCATTAAGTAAACAGTATTTTTTTAATTGTGCTGGATTAATAACTAAACTAGGATTAATTTTTGTAATAGTTTTGCCTTGAAATGCTTCTTTTTTTGGAGAAAAAGAGTAAGGTGATTCGCAGGTACATTTAGAAAGATGCTGTTGAAGCGATGAAGTACATGAAGTACAATCTTGCTTTTTCTTTTGGCGGAAGTGTGGTTAACTTAAGTTGCAGATTACAATGGTTAGACGTACATGTAGCTCGATTTCATTTGATGATGTGATTGTTGCATGTATACACAACTCTCAGAGAAAATGCAGCATCTAGAAATGATGTCACTAGTTGCTATATTATTTTGCTGATACTGTTTCTCTTTCACCTCTCTGCAAACATGAATCATAGATGTACATGTACAAGCATGACCCACATTTTGAAATAATTTAATCAGCAGTACCTTGAATAACAGACAATATGTGCTACTCCAAAAGTACTTCAAATGCTGTGTCCTTGGGCAAGCCACTTTACCAGTGTTCACCTCCACTTGCCTCGTTCCACCCAGGAGTATAAAGGGGTACCAGTATTTGTTGGGAATAATGTTGCATCCCATTCATGGGGAATAGAAATATTCTCAGTCACTTCATGCCGTAGAAACAAGATATGTTTTACTGAATTTTCTACTTCGTCATTTAAACCACGCTTACTTTTTTTTTTTAGATTGTTAGAGAAGAGATTTTGAGTGTCGGCTGTGAGTGGCTTTTGTGTTGGCATTCACCATGACGCTTCTTCAACATACACTATTAGATTTCCATGAATTTGCAAGTAGACAAATTTAAATTTAAATTTGGTTTAGGTGAGAATGGACTGCATATTAATCACAATGTGTGATCGCAAAAGTGAAAATTTCTAAGATATGAATCATAAATACAGAATGTACTAGGCCCGGACTAGGACGTCTTGAAAACAAATTTCCCACTTTTGGGGTGTGAGGGTATTAGTGCACGTTTTAATTTTTTTTTTTTCCAGATAAGTTTCGTTTGATCTATAAACATTTTCATTTATTTCCTGGGCCATATTTTTTATTCTGAAGTGCCCTGAATGGGTCCAATTTCTTGCTAACCACAGAATATATTTAAGAACATGGCCCAATTTCATGGCGTTGCTAACCACAAAATTCCGCGCTTATGATCACTATTCTGTGCTAACCGCGCTAGCAGAAAAATGCTGCGCTAACCATGTAAGCACAGATTCCTTAGCTACGGGATGTATGCAAGCGCATAAGTTAAAATTCCTTGCTAACCCGTGCAATACGCTTACCGTAAGCTTGGAATTTTCTGCGACAGTAAGCAGGGATTTTTCGCTAACAGTAAGCAGAGACGTGAAATTTGGCCCCGGTTACAAGCCATAAAGTTATACATTTCATTTTGCTTGTTAAGTCTTTTCAGCTGTTTTTTTTTATTGTTTAGAACATAAATTTGTTCAGCAATATTTTTGGCTTAGGTCCATGAATAACATCTTTATTGCCTAAACTTTAAGGGTTCATTCACAGAAATGTTGATGTGAAATGTAGATTTTGAGTGCATCGTGCCCAAATCTACAACAGAGCCAGCTATTTCAAAGCCTGTTTTCTCAGTTGTGTAATTCGAACTCCAAGGCAGTAATTAATATGCAAATTTATACGTCATATCTCCAGAACGGGAGGGGATATTGAGCTATATATATATCATGAAAGCTTATGCTGTGGGCTTTCCAACCATGTATTTAACTCAAGTTTCATTTTTTGGGCGACAATACCTTTTTTTCTGGAGTGGGGTACATTTGTGTGCAACTTCTGCTTAAAATTAGTGACACGGCAATGGAACTCAGTGCATGTGCAGACATTGGCTTTAGTTCGTAATAAATGGCAAATGCTTTATGTTAAACAGCAACACTTTCTTCGTTAGTTAGTACAGATACATAAGTTTTTACTAATCCTCGTTAGCACTAACCCTCATTAGCACCCAGGTGCTGTTACAGCAGGCCGCTCCCATTGGTTGAACTCGGTAGCCTTGATTTTCCTTCTTTTTGCAAGACGATTCTTCATAGCAATACTAAATTTTCCAATGATGTAGTCATTTCAAAATCAATTCTGTGCACTATGCATTTTATATTAAAAGACGTTTTTTTAAAGCATAAAATCAATTGGCATTTCTCCAACTTGCAATGTTGCCGCATCTGGTCAACAAAATGTGCTTGGAATGTAATTTGTGTGCTTTTGTTTCAATTTTTACCTTTTTATTTAATAATAGTGCGAGTTGTTTAATTACAACTAGAAAGGGAATACATGGGGGAAAAAGCACTACACTTGAAAATTGTCAATCACATGCAGCTCAAATAAATTGGATTTTTGTTTGAAAATGCCAAAGTGCCAAAGTTGGGTTTGGGCTAAGTAATATTTTAATAACAATCTTGATTACGTTTCTAAAGTAAAGGGTGTCCCCCCCCCCCCAAAAAAAAACCCACCAAATCTGTCTTTGTATTTTGCCTGTTTTTTGTTTTCATGTGAGACTGCGTGCATGGATTTAAAATAAAGCATTATGGAAATGCATTAAACTGCTCAATACTAAAAACTATTTAGCGTAGCATGTCTAAAGGGAGTCGTCTAGCTTTGTCTTTAGCATCCTTTATAACAATGATATACCAATACTGTATGATATTTAATTTCAAAAGGCTGTGTTAAATTCAATATATTTTCTTTCAAAGTTGTGATATCTGGAAATGTGTATTTTAGTTTTACCTTTATTGTAAAAAAAAAAAATATCTACGACACTTGATTAAAAAAATACAAATGTGCATGTGTGCAGCACTAATTGTAATCAGAAAGCAAGCTGAGTTTGGAATTATTTCATTGTCTTTAAAGGGAATATACAACATAAGAAAAACTTCCAAATTATTATGAAATACCTTACTGGACTGTTGGTTAAAGACAGTCTAAAGCATCCTGTTAAATCATGGCCCCTTGTCTGCCGTCATTTTCAAGAAAAGTGGTATTTTGTATCAATTACCAACCGGTCGGCCGACTGGCTTTGTTTCAAATACTGCCCCCAATTTACCATATTTAGTTAGTCCGCCTTTTTTTTGTGCAATCGATTACACACCTATGAACGGGTACAAGCCAGCTAGACTGGTTCCCTGACCTTACAATTCCCTGACGTCTTTAAATTGCTCTGTTTCATCTTAAGTGGGGTCAGGGAACCAGACTACAGGAACACGATTGTTTTTCTTGGTTTTTCAAGCATCTACAGACACACAACTTCAAACAGGCGAGTGTAACAATATTTACTATAAAATACTAACCCCCAATCCATCCAATTCTGAAAATTACAGCAAAAGCAAACGTTGTATTCATTTTTAAGTTTATATTTTTGGCTGGCCCGCCTACTGTCCCTTTAATTTGTACCTATCTCACTGACTGACTCTGACTGTCATTTTTGACAGCTTCACTAGGCTTGCCTAGTCTTGCATACAAATAATGAATGCTTGTGAGTGCAATGGTAAGAGTAATTTCATGCGGTGACACATGGAATGTTCCATTCCACCAGGCGAAGCGGTGTGGAGTGGAACATTCCATCTGTCATTGAATGAAATTATGTCATTTGTGACATCTTCACTAGGCTTGCCTAGTCTTGCATACAAATAATGAATGCTTGTGAGTGCAATGGTAAGAGTAATTTCATGCGGTGACAGATGGAATGTTCCATTCCACCATTCGAAGCGGTGTGGAGTGGAACATTCCATCCGTCACCGACTGAAATTATGTCATTTGTGACAGCTTCACTAGGCTTGCCTAGTCTTGCATACAAATAATGAATGCTTGTGAGTGCAATGGTAAGAGTAATTTCATGGAATTTCATGTTCCATTCCACCAGGCGAAGCAGTATGGAGTGGAACATTCCATCCGTCACCAAATGAAAACATTCTTTCCATTGCACAAATGTGAAACATTCATTATTTGTTTTATACAACACCTGAATAAATCCTGGTCATCTGATTGGTCAGATCCTCCAAAAGTGTGACCGTGCAATGGACTTCCATTTACCGAGGAATGGAACTTTCTTTTTGCGGTGCAGCCGGGCTGTGCCTTGGGACAAATAATTCAATGACACGTGATCAAGGACCCACCAATCAAATGACGGGGATTTATTCCGGCATTGTATAATTTGTTTATTTACTCTGTAATGTTGGAGAAAATATTTTCTGATTTTACAAAAGATAGAGTATGGGTTGGCACCCTCTTTATGTTCAGTGGACATTCAGCTTTTTTGAATATTTCTATATTCTATATATTTCAGCAAAAAAAGAAGAAGAAGAAAGAAAAAGAAAATCAACACACGAATGAAACCCTTTTGACATAAATAATTTTTTTGACAAAAATAATTTTGTTAATAATGACACTTTTATTTCAGAGAGAAACACCTGTTTGGAAAAGGCTTAATTGGAATCAGTACTGTCAATTAAAAATATGATCTCAAAATAATGATCTAAAATGAGATATTGATGCAAAATGGAACCTGCATATGATAATGATCATCTATTACAGCATAATTTAACTGAGATTGAATCGCTTTACATAATAATTAAATATACAGTTGAGTCTCGTAATAATACAAACTCATTCGGACCTAGCCAAATTGTTTGTTATATCAGAATTTTATATTTAAGAGGAACATCAGTCCCATTCATTGTGCACATAAATGCACAGTCGGGACTAAGGCTTTATGTTTGTTATAACCAGAATTTTGTATTAACAGAGTTTGTACTAATGAGATTTGACTGCACTACACTCATTTGCATATTAAAATGATGTCAGCCTATTCAGCAAAATAATCTAAAATTACAGCCTCGTTGACTAACAATGCAGCAATTGATAACCACTCTACACTAAAATTACTATGAACAGTACATTCTAGGTAGAAACTAGCAGAGTTCAAACATACATCTGGTATTAAAAAGTAGAAAATATTCCTATAAATGCTCTAGGTCAATTCCATTGAGCTGCTAAGGGGCTGTATCAGTTCATATTCGGGACGAGTTCCAGACAAGTTGCCAGTAGAATCATTTACTTTGTCCGGACGAAGCTCTGCATAGAAATTTTCATTAGCAAGTGGTTGACTCGCGAACACTGATAACTTCATTGCGGGAAGATTTCGAGGGAAGTTGTTCGGAATCCTGCAACTTATACCCGATACAATGACTGTCCGTAACTTGTCTGAAACACTTTTCGGATATAAATAAAGACTGGCCCTAGGCACTGGAAACAGTTGTTTAGCTGTGGTACATGTATTGCTATTTTTAAAGGGAAGATACAACATTTGCAAACATCAAAAAACAAAATGATCAAATTACCACGAAATATCTTACTGGATTGCTAGGGAATGACAGTCTAAAGCATCCTGTAAAATTGTGGCTCCTGGTATTCTGACATTTTCAAGAAAACTTGTATTTTTCCAACGCTGGTCGGCCGAACAGCGTTGGAGAAAACTGACTTTTTTTTCCAAAAAGTGCTCCTTCTTTGCAATTGATTACACACCTGTGAAGGGGTACAAGCCTTCTAGACTGATTCTCTGACCTGACAATCCCCCAAAGTCTATAAACTGCTCCGTTTCATCCAACGTGGGGTCAGGGAACCAGACAACAAAATCATGCTTGGTTTTCTTGGATTTTCCAGCATCTCCGAACCAAAAAACGTGAAGCAACTCAGTTTAACAATTATTTGCTATAACATACTTATCCTCCAAATCCATTTATTTCTGAAAATTGCAGCAAAAGCAAATGTTGTACATTCCCTTTAAAATGTCTAAGTTCTAAGCACAGTAGTCTATCGCTCTACCTTGTGCAGGCATGCAACTTTTCCTCGGATCAGATGATTTCCTCTTTTTTTACTTCCCATGTGTGCCACTGAAAATAGAAAAAACACTGTACAAAGTTTGGGAAAAATTTGAATTTCCTCTTTTTTGTGACTTCCCAGTTGCATGCCTGCTTGTGGTGTGTATGTTTGCACAGTGTAAATTGTCCCATTGAAACCAGTACATAAATGTACAACTTTTTTTACCCGTGCGGAAACCCGTGACCATGCGTGGTGCGTATTGTCCCTCGTGTGGCACGCCACACACAACAGTCCAGGCTTCTCATGCAGGCTACTTCTGATCGCCCCTCCCGCCCTCCCCCTGCATAATGTCAAACAGCTGGTCGGCCTGTCTTAGGGCATCGGCCGTTGCTTCCAAGGCCTCCAGCCACGCCTCCGGTACCTCCTCCCTGCCATAGAGGGCGCCAGCGATGGCCCCGGCCATGGAAGCGATAGTGTCCGTGTCGCCGTCCAGCGAGATGGCGTAGATCAGGGTTCTCTCCAGGCGGTTGTCGGTGGGGATCCCTTGGACCGGTCTGAGGCACCTCAGGACAGAGTACACAGCGGCAGGCACAGACCTGTGTGCGGCTATTTCGTTACCTATTAAAAAAGCAACGATGCAAAATAAGCACTGCTTCCAGTTCTTCTACACAACTGCTCTTCACCGTTGTAATCCCTCAGTCTCCTGAGGATTTTAGTCTGGACGCTGATAATGAACCGAGCCGAATATCAGCATCCAGACTCCAAACCGGTCTGAAACATAGTGTTTAAAACCGGCCAAGCACACATTTATTACCTCAATAATGAATGCGTAAAAGGTTTATTGAAGCCTATCGAAGCAGTACAAAACCATTGCCCTCTAACTCCACCTTAATGCACAAGGTCTGTCTTACATGTTTCTATAAGCTAAAAATGTGAAGTTGATCAAATTTGTGAATTGGCTCTTGGTCTGCAAGTCATGGCAACATTGAACATGTTCAGTGCGTGCGCAATCCCCCGATTCCATGGGTGCTTAGTTTGTCGATCAAATAACAGATGCTCTGATTTGTGTTGAGTGTTATAATTCAACTGATGTTCTCTATGAATTCTAGTAAAACTGCTGAATTCTTTTAGTTTCTTAAGTCGATTGCATTCTAGTTTTGACCAGGGCGATTTCTTACAAGGTTAAGATATGGGCCTATCCCTAATAACCCATCTGCTCTGTGATTTGTTCAATAGTAAAGCAGATTAGTGATAAGATTGTTGAGTTTTATGACAAAAGCATGACATTTGGCACACAGTCGGAGTATGTCATTGGAAAGATATTTGGCTCTTGGGCCATTGCAGATTTGTCCTTTGAAAAAAATATGGAATAACAAGCACTTTTCAAAATTTCCCAAATGGCAGCCATTGCATGTTATCAAATGATATTTTTTTCAAAGGACAAACCTGCGATGGCCCTCAAGCCAAATATCTTTCCCATTATATACTCTGACTGTGTGCCAAATGTCATGCTTTCATCATCAGATCAACAATTCCATCATATTGTGCACCAATCTGCCTGACTACAAATGTACAAGCTTTTGTTGAAATGAAGCATTGTTGCCACCACCTGTCTGCATTTAGTTTTTCTCTCTCTTTTCCTCTGTAGTCTGTAACTTCAACTTACTCTAAGATATTCCCAGATCTAAAAAAAAAAAACACCACCCACCTAATTTTTTGGCGACGTCCTCAGTGCTGGGGTCTGAAGCCAGCATTTTCTTCATCTCTCGCAGCTTGCCGGCGTACAGATCGTCCGTTCCCTCCACTCTGTCCATGACTCGGAGCAGCCCGTCCAGGAATGATGTGGTGTCAAAGGTCACCGGGTCGGAGTGCAGGGCCGAGTGGACAGCGCAGGCCTGCAGGACCGCGCCGTTGTAGCCCAGCTTGTTGGCGTGGGTGAGTTTGGAGCTCTCGCGGGCTATCTGAGAGGAAGGGGAGATGAGTAAAGAAGGTGAGTCAAGTGAGTCAGTCACCATGACTAGGTTTTTATTTTTATTACACCGCTTCACATCGGTACGTGATTTTAAATAAATTTAATGAACCATGGAACCGTGGTCAGAGTATTTTTCATGCATGTTTTTTGCTAGCGCTTTTCTTCAAAATGGTATTTTGGATATACACTGTACTTGAAACTTTCACCAAATATGTCCAAAATACCAGCCTATAACATATCTCATTTGCACTTGTTTTGATCATTGCTAAATGTTTTTAATATTATCTTTAATTTGGGTCCAGATCATTCCGACTCACCCTGTATTATCTTTTATCTTCTGTACAAACGCCTGGTGTGGCTATCGCGTACAGCCTCATGGTGTATGTATGAGGATAACTGCCAGAAACACCGGGGCTAACCCCTTTTCTTAGCGATAAGTGTTTGCTGGGTTCACATTTATACAACACACATTTATACAACATACAGCTTTACGTTCCATCCGAAGACGAAGCAATAATGGTTAAGTGCCTTGCTTAAGGGCAAAAGTGTCCGAGCCCGGGCTTGAACCCACGCCACTGTTGCCTCTGAAACACCAGAGCATGAGTCCAGTGTTCTTAACCGCTAGGCCATCTCACCCCACTTAGTATAACAACACTGAATTGTGCAACTAAAGACAGACCCAAACAGAGACATACAGTACCTCAATCACTCTCTCCAAGTTCTCGCTTGAGCACAAACCGACCGGCGCTATTCTCATGGCTCCGCCGTTACCGTAGGAACCACTGCCGTCAAATTGCGTCTTTGCCGGGGCATAGATGTCCTCGGTGTTCGGGTCACCGAGAGCAGGAAGGATATCTATGACGTTAGCACCGTAGCCGCGCCCCGGCTCTCTGGCATACTCCTCCGAAAATCTATGAATATGGAATGTTATAAAAGTCATCTTCAAAGCCTAGGCTTACAACAGGAAAATAAAGCTCAGTCGTCCTTCGCTCTCTCTTGTTTTTGCATCAATGCGGGCGTGCTCGTGTGCACCTTCGCTCGTACCCCCAGCCCTGCAAACAGGATGCTGGGATACTCTGATGAGCTTCACAGAATCTTGTGAAGGAAATGGCCTATGACCTATGTATAAAGCATCTGGCTGCAGCTGTTCAAGACCGCATTTAGACAATGTGCGCAAATGCTATCCGAAACTTCCCATAGAATTGCGCGCATTCCATACCGGATGTGATTTCTGTTTCATTGCGGACCATGTGGACACAATTTTGAGCGTCGCATAATGCAATCCGACCGTTCGTGATTCGAAACGGAGCCTGAGCGAGTGACGGGAATTGTAAATTTACAACACAGATAAGTTTTACAGAATTTCCTACAATATTACGCTTTTTCAACGAGAAAAAACATCTTTAAACTGGAATAAAAGAGTAATGAATCAGTCTTAACGGCCGTTTCAAACCTTGCAGAGTCATGACCTTGATGACGCGCAGGTCACTGGTCACGCAAAATCCAACCAACCAGAGCGTGAATTCATCAGAGTATCCCAGCGTCCTGTTTGCAGGGCGGGGGGTACGAGCGAAGTGTGCACCGAGCCCGTGGGGTGATGGCTTTCCTTCAATGCGATACTAACCTGCGTGCCATATCCCTAGCATTGTATTTGCCTTTGCAGTGAATGAGAGACTCAGCAACTGACCGTGCCATGGCTGTGTCATCGGTGAAAGTAAGCTTGCTGGCTAAACACACCAAAAAACACAAATATTAGGGAAAAAACCCGAATTATTAGGAGTGATGGGTAGGAGTACAACCTGTAGTTTAAAAGCACTTTTAACAAAATAGAATTATTTTTATGTTTTTTGAGCCGTTAAACAGCTATCAAACAATCTCAGCTTTGGTGAAGGGGGGGGGGGGGCTCAATGATGCCATTTCAGTGCAACTGCTTACTGTTGTGCAGACCACGTTCAAGGCTTCAATTTATTATGCAAGACGACTCCTTTACAAAACTTTTTTATGCAGGCAAACTCAAGGGGCTCTGTATATGCAGTCCTTCTTATTTGAGAATCACAGGCGTGTGGAAAAAGGCGCGCCTGGATTTTTCTAGGCGTGCGATCGCACGTCTCAAATCAGAAGGACTGCATATGCTAAACACAGCAACAGAAAATATAATCGTAAACAGACCTCCACGTTTGCTGTCAAAACTCTGGAAGAACTCCACGACATTCTCCATGAGAGTGACCCCCTTGGGCAGCAGAGTGCCGCTCTCATAGGGACAGCCAAGGCAGTCACCGGCCAGGGCTCCGAGGAGACAGCCACGAAAACGAGACCTCAGGCTCGACCCCACCTGGGCCATCGCTCCAGTGCAATCACACAGATGCTGTCTATAGAAAGTTTGGGCTGGAAAGAAAAAAAACAAAAGATGGTGTTTTACAAGTAACTGGGCTCCAACTTTCAACAGGTGTGATGGCCAAGTACACAGCATGTGGAGTAATGGGGGGGGGGGGGGGGGGGGCAGGGAGGGAATGTGTCCTCTTTGCCTGTCCCATGGAGGAATAAGAACCTGTCCCAACCTATCTTGTGCACCCCACTCAGAATTTTGGGAAGGCAAAAATGAGCTGTTATTTGTTGACTTGACATGCATTGAGTGCCCACTCCAGAAAATGAGTCCTGCCTGACCCCTGTTACACCATTGGTACAGAGGGTTAAATTTGACACAAAGACTGCTCGCACAAAAGTGATGATCGGCAAGAGGGTTGAGAAAATGGAAATAATAATTAGTATCCATTCGCAATCTTGGAAAATCCGCCGTCTTGAGCAAAAAACATAAAAAGGGATATGAGAGCAATGGGAAAATAATGTCATTTCTAATTCTAATCCTCTCCCCATCCCCCACCTCCAATCCCCCCCCCCCCCCCCCCCCCCCAACATTGCCCCCCAAAAATCATAGGCCTAATCAAATCTATCAAAAAAATCAAGGTACTTTTTTTATTGACATCCACTGGAAGGCAAACTAACTGTTTTTTAACACCAAATCTGTAACTGAGTCTTCGTGGATAATAAGTTAGTCTGTGCTACTATACTAGTGAATCCTTACTCGCTATCTATCTTTAGCTAGCTTTGCTTCCTTCACTTTCTTTCCCGATCTGTCTGCCGCCGATTTTTCGTTTGTTCCAAAATAATGACTTGCGCCCTCAAGTGTTGACCTACATATAAACGTAAATATGGGGGCGGGGATGAGCCAGAGATATAGTATGATTTTAATATCTTTTTATTTCTCAAGCACATCCAAATGAAGCCTTAGGCATAAACATACCCAAAGCCTAAATCGGTTCGATTTAAAGGCATGGCACGAACATCCCAACCACTTGCGGTTCACCCTTCATTCCTTTTTTTCAGGGTGGGGGGTCTATTGTTTATGTTGTGTTGCTTTTTATGACGTCACATTTGTAGCCAAAAATACATCGCTGGTTTCCTCTACCGTACCGCACTAATGCAAAACAAATCTATGGTATGTGCGGTAAACCGCAGGGAACCAGCTGATTTTTTTTTAAAGATGGCAGCAGTCTACTAGTCTAACAAGGTTGATTCTTTGTTGATGGTGGACGGAAAACGGGTTTGTTATGATGAGATTAGGAGCTCATTTGAGTCATCATTGTACGCTTTTTAGTTTGCCGACACGCGGTGAAAGAGTTGAGGAAGAGGTATGTAGCCTCTTGAGCAATTTCGAATAATGGGCAAGAGAGCATAAATCATGTCATGAATGTTTTACACGGGTTGTCATGTTTTTGCAAAGTTTAGCGCAGGCCGTGTTACTCACACATAGCGCTAGGCCGTACTTGGAAAAACCCGGAAAAATACTGAGTCATGCCAATCATTTGGGGAATAAACCTACGGTTCGGTCGGTTTATTTTTCATAATGACGTCAGAGTCGCATATTAGGATTTTTAATACAAAAATTTGCGTGTTTTTTTCCCTGAGACTGAGTACGAGTCTGAGGAGTGAGATAACCCCATAAATGTGGCCAATTTACTGGACTACCTCCGTAAATAATTAACGCAGTGGCTATTGTTACGGCAGCCGTAACGCATTTCCCATTTTCTATCGTTACGGTAGACTGCAACTTTTATAAAAACATGACAAGAAAATATAAAATTAGAAGGAAAAAAGTGAATTTGAACGTTATGAAATTCGGACTTTATTTCCCTTTAAAAAAAAATCCTCCAAAGCCTCAGGTTAGAAAAGGAAAAAAAATCGAGTGCAAAACTGAGATTCGAACCCGCAACCTCGCGGTGCAAAATCCTACCCTCTATCGACTGAGCTGTCGCACTGCTCGCTAAAACGTGTGGAAACAAATAATTATATACCTGCGTGCGTATCAAAAAAGTATCGTAGAGGGCGCTAAACAACGACTGCTGTAACGATAGCCACTTCGAATAATTAAAGGCCACACTTGGAACATGTACTGGAAAATGTAGAACTTTGTCAAATTTTTATTTTCACATTTAAATGTTGTTTGTAGTTGATTTACGCTTTAGACTCGCCCTCTTTATAGGATAGAAAAAAGTGCTACATAATTTTAAAGACATCTACTTTTCGTGTAATTTCGTGTTGGAATTTAGATATACATGCAAACGTGTGCAAACGAACCTGGAAATTACACGGAAAATAGATGTCTGAAAAATGGGCGATGAGTCCGGTGCTCTTAACCGCTAGGCCATGACACTCCACTCAAAATCCAACATCCAATACCCTGCTAAATCCAACAGAGTCCAACGGTTACTTACTGCTCAATCCAACAGAATCCAACCAAGCCTAAATTTTAGTTGTCTGCTGGATCCAACAGAGTCTGACTTGGCGTTATTTATCAGTACCCAACAGAATCCGACTCTGAATATGTACATGTATGTTTGTACAAGGCGTTTACTGCTCAATCCAACAGGCTCCAACAGGTTTATGATATAGTTGGATCCTGTTGGATTCAGCAGGGTTAGGGATAATTATTAATTAATTAATTAAAACAAATCCTCCAAACTGAGCCATGAATCTGAGAAGAAAGGTAAAATCTATAAAAAGCAGGAGTTCAATTAACACAATGAAGGAAGAAAATGTATACATTTTTTCAGCATGTTCGGGAAAATAACATGTAAAAAACATTCTTAATGGAAACTTCAACCAGGGCCCTACCGCGCTCAAAATGAGTGTCTGTCCTAGGATCGGGCTACCGAACCACGTTTAGGTACGAACTTGAAGTAGTTTTTGACATAATTTTTAATTTTTGCATTTTTGGTACTGAGTAGAAATGAGGCTTATTCTGTTAAGCAAGTTTCAATGTTGCACATACAATCTGAAAGCTAGGCAAATTATTTGTTTAAGTTGTACAGTCTCAGTTATAAGACAAGTTAAATGTTAAAGTTGTATGCTTCAGCTTACAATAAGATTGTTTAATAATTTGATATGAAATTTGCAGATTTGTAGGTTGAGGGGGTCAGCATGACTGATGACCATAAGAAATGGACCTGCGAATACTGTACGTACAACAACTGGCCCAGCGCCATCAAATGCACCCTGTGTCAAGCCCGCCAGCCTGTCCAGTACATCAGTGCCCCCACCTCACCGGAGGCTCCCCGGAGAGAACTGATACCCAGGGCCACGGGTACCGGGACAATACCTCTGATACTACCAGGTAGCGATAACAGGGGACCGCTCTCCCCTGCCGCAAAGTGGTCCTGCAGAATCTGCACTTACATGAACTGGCCCCAGGCCACCAAGTGCGCCCTGTGCTACTCACCCCCGGGGAGCAGCAGCCCGACCCTGGAGTACCGGGGGAGGGGCGTGCCGAGGGCCATCCGGATGCCAAGGTCCCCCGAGGCGAGCCAGGTCGGCAACAACGACCGCAATCGCAACCTGGGCCAGAATGTCAAGAAGTGGGCCTGCCCGGCCTGCACCTACGAGAACTGGCCCCGCGCCAAGAAGTGCGCGCTGTGCATGTGCATGCGGGGTAAGCTCAGCCCCGAGTCGGGTGTGGCCGCAGGGAGCTCCCTGATCGAGGAGAACCTGCGCAACGTGGAGGCATCCTGCCGTGGCTCCCCGCCCATGTCACCACCAAGGAGCCCTGACGCAACAGTGGAACTCCAGCAGGTGTCGCAGCCATCGTCTGCCACCAGGGCGACCCCGCGGACAGTGCCTACCCACGGTACCATCAACCTCTCGGAGCACGACAACCGCCTCAAGCAGATACGCAAGCGCCTGCGCAAGTCGGACTGGCTCTTCCTGAATGCCTGCATGGGGGTGATCGAGGGGGATGCCCGGGCCGTGGAGCTGTACCTTACCTCAGGCGGGTCACCGACCCGTCAGCTTACTCGCGATGAAGTGACCTTACTCAATAGGCCCAGTGCCTTTGATGTCGGTTTCACCCTGGTGCACCTGGCCATCAGATTCCAACGGGAGGACCTGGTTGCGGTGCTCTTGACGCCCGACGTCACGGCCAATGTTGTGAAACGACCCCCTTCGCAGGTCTGCCCAGACCTGGCCACTGGTATACGAAGGGAAATCGCCAAGTCCCTTCGCCAAAGGAAGGGAGATTTCCTTTGCTTCTTTGTGACGGATCTGTTAACATTCATTTTGCCAGGAGGTAAGATTGTGCTATAAAGGCATTACCCTTTTAAATTGTGTAAAGATATAATCTTTTGCATCGATTTTTGTCTTTGCTACAACATGTGGTTCTAGCTTATATTGTAACTTCGGAGTAATGGGACAGGTCTGTCATTCAAGTCTAGACAAGAACTATTTAGCCTTTTCAGAATTTTGAGACTGTGGCCTGAATTAACAGAAAAGTCATGTTGTGGATCCCTTTGTTTTCTTAACATTTTTTTCACAACATTTATTTCTGGAACAGAAATTGAAGACTTCCCGCTTACCGTTAGGAATCAGCTCTTTGACGAACTTCTAGACAGGGACGTACAAAAAGGTAAAGGAAAAATTGGCTGTTGTGAGTTATTTAGCAAGGATTTATATTAAACGTACATACCTCTGTCGTCCCTTTACAACACAAGATAGGCCTAAAGGTGTTTTGTGTGGCCAAAAAAAACGAGGCATCCATAATCCATATTGTACAGGCATCGCGCAGTTTTGAAAAAATGTTCGTACGTGACGTGACGCGCAGGAGATAACGCGCGGGCGTGCAGTCTTCAAAATACGTGCGCAGTACGCCCTGAATAGCCAGTCAGCGTCGTTTACGTATTCCTCACGGCCATGGGTTAGTGAAGGACTGAAGGAACGCGCTTGCGCCCATGGAGTTGAGGCTGCAGTACCCCCAGTTGACAAAATTGCCTCAGCCTGTCAATTGTACCAATATGAGCGCAATTTACAAGCTGACAACAAACTGTCACTTGATAGATTGTGACAGGAAGTGTATCTTTCTCTGTTCTGGCTCTGAGAGAGGGAGGGTTATTAACTTTCAATCTACACATTTAAAAATGTTATTTGTGAATTACATTTTGTACTTGTATAGAAGCCTGTGAATTTAAGTCAACAACCTTAGATTCATGTCTGTTCATACCTCCTTGTTCAATCAAAAATGTGGTCGACTGTAAGCATTTTGTGAATGCCAATTACTTTTTTGCCATCACTGGTCCATTCTTCCTTCAAATTTTATTTCACAAACAGAATTGGAACAGGAGTCCCCCATCATCAACTGGAGCGTTGAGGTCGCGGCCAGTCTAGGCAGCCGGCTCTACGCCCTCTGGAACCGCACTGCCGGCGACTGCCTGCTTGACTCGGTCCTGCAGGCCACGTGGGGCGTGTTTGACACGGACGCTGCCCTGCGACACGCCCTCGGGGACAGTCTGAATGAGGGAGGCATGAGGTGGGAATCATTCCTGTGGAGATTTTTTTCCTCCACATGAAATTTTGGCTGCACCTTATTCCCCCCCCCCCTCCCCCATTCTTGGGAATTTGTGGCTTTGGAGGATTTTGTTTTCAATGGAAGTACAGTCTGAGAACCAATTCCCGACGTCTGACGTGTTTGTGTTTTTGCTGCCGATTCCGTAGCCTTGCGAAATCAGGAACCAGTACCGGTTCCATAGCCACTGCCTTGCATTTAAATGTTCGGTTTAGCAGTGTTTGTTTATATAGAGGCATTCTACCTCAACAATTGTGTTATGATATGAGATCAAAGAGCTATATTAAATTACTAGATCGCTAATTCATGTACAAAGTGATGCCTGCTGGGCGCATCCATGTTTGTGCACAAACCTATGGAGAACTCAAAATTGTGTACGGCTTTTGTACGGCTGTTTGCATATCTGCATATGTGTTCTATACAGGTACCTTATCGAAGCTGATACGCCCAATACCACAACGCACACATGATCAGCATATGAGCGTTTTATTTTGCTATACGCAAACAGGGCAATGCGTGCACGTCTCCGCTGCAGATGATTACCGCGACTTCTTTTTAATAACTGTCGTGACACGCTTAAGTTGTTTGCGTACCTTCTACTTGCGCGTTGCATTTAGAGTACACTTTCAAAATTCAGTCCATCTAATTTCATTATGTTCTACAAACACACACATGAATTTAAAATGTCTGCACCCAGGATGGCTTCAAAGCATCTCTGCGCGCAAGAATGATGAGTTAGCGCTCTAGTAATTTAAAGGGAATATACATCATTTGCTTTTGCTGTAATTTTCAGAAATGGATGGAATTGGGCATGTTGGGGGTTGGAAATATATAACAAATATAGTTACACTGACTTTTTTGAGGTCTTGGGTTCGAAAATGCTATAAAAACCAAGAAAAACAATCATTTTCCTGTAATCTGGTTTCCCTGACTCCATATAAGAAGAAACAGAGCAGTTTACATACATTGGGGAATTGTAAGGTCAGGGAACCAGTCTAGCTGGCTTGTGCCCGTTCATAGGTATGTAATCGATTGCAAACAAGTGCGATGGTCAATTGGGGCCAGTATTTGAAAAAAAGCCAGTTTTTTCCAACGCTGGTCAGCCGACCAGCGTTGGAAATTGATACAAAAATACCACTTTTCTTGAAAATGACAGTATACCAGGTGCCATGATTTTACAGGATGCTTTACACTGTCATTCACTAACAGTCCAGCAAGGTATTTCAAAATGATTTAGTAGTTTTATTTTTTGATGTTTGCAAATGTTGTATTTTCCCTTTAATATAGCTCTATGTATGAGATTCACTTCACACTCACACTTGTTGGTCATCTCTGAAGTTTTGTTCTTTTTTTTTCTTGCGTCTCCCCTTCTCCAACTCACTTGCCCCAGGTTCTTCACGCGCTGGAAGGAGTACGAGTCCATGCAGGTGGAGAGCATGCACTTCACTCTAGACGAGGACCAGTGGGAGCAGGATTGGTCCCTGATGCTGAGCCTGGCCGGCCAGCCGGGAGCCGCCCTGGAGCAGATCCACATCTTTGCCCTGGCCCACATCATGCGACGACCCATCATCGTCTACGGCGTCAAGTACATCAAGAGCTTCCGCGGCGAGAATATCGGCTATGCACGTTTTCAAGGTACAGTGCGTTGTCTCTATTTCTGTCGTACTAGCCCTCGGCCCAAGTGACCATCACTCCTAGTGTTCATTTATGGGTATTGCTGCACCAATGCAGTCAACTTCCGTTAGAACATAATCTTCCGGATCTGACAAAAATGTTTGTTGTATCTAAATGTTCCTATTAAGGCCAAAAAAAAAAAAAAATCGGTCTCGGGTCATCGTGCGCGTTGATTTTAATCATGCGCGTCAACCTTTTTTTTCCCTTCAAATTAACACAGAAGCTACAACAGCGCCTTCTATTGCCGCACCTCCTCAAATTTTTGTACCAAGGAGCACCAAGGAATGGGGAAATTGCACCAAGGCGAATGATAAAGGGCACCAAGGCAAATTATGGAGGACACCAATGTATAATGAGGACACAAAAAAGCAAAATAGTACCCACCTTGTCTGTACAATTCAATCTTGAAAAAAACCCAAAAAAGCCACCAAAAAAAAAACTCGCGTCGCCGCATAGATTCTGGAACTTCGGTCTGACCAGAGACCGACTATTATTTTTTTTTGGCCTAAGCTGAAATGTCGTTACACATTCCATGTGCAAGGAGTGTTTTAGATGCATGTATAATTAATGTAATGAGTACTGCACTCGCAGTGTTAGATAAGCGACGCACAGCCGAGTAAAGCATTGAAAGACTTAATATCAGCGCAATGAAGTGAAGCATGACATGTCTTCTGTTTTCACTGAGGGTTTCTTGTCAGTGGATAGCAGACGATGGTTTTGCACAATAAATATAAGCTTGTTCCGTAGTTGTAGGGACTACACACGTGTTGCCCTGTGGTACTATGGGGACCGAAGACGCTATGGGGACAGCAGACAGTCCCCATAACTCGGGTACTAATTACCCTAACAATACAAAACTTCCTCATGATGCTGTTACAGCCCGCCCACACGTACAAGTGTGTATTTGCCTGCAATCGGGGACCCCTATTGTCCCTCTTTTATTTGTACTCTACCTCTCTAGGAAGACCTCCCATATGTTTTGTACATGAATCCAAATTGGGGACCTTTGGGAATTGGGGACCCTATTGTCCTCTATTATTCAACGTCCCCTATTGAATGCAGAAACAAACTTACACACACACACACACATCTCATTTTGCAACAGATAACCCTAACCCCAAAATGCCACTGAAATTGTTTTTCAGAAAAGGGGAAACGTTGTGTGGATGTGGTCAAGTCCACAAAATATTCACACTTCCTGCATCCTGTGGACGTCTTTTGTTCACACGTCCACAAAGAGTATGCAATGTTAGAACACACAATCTCTCCATGCAAAATTTCTCTAAATCCTAATTCCTAGCTTTGCTTGTTTTTTTTTTCATCCCTAGGCGTTTACCTACCTCTACTCTGGGAGCCCAGCTTCTGCTGGAAGAGCCCCATCACCTTAGGCTACACCCGGGGCCACTTCTCTGCCTTGGTCCCCATGGAGACAGACTCGGACGACAACCAAGGGGCCGGGGCTAACCTGAACACGGACGACGAGACGCAGACAGTCTACCTGCCACTGACGGACTTTGAGGGCAAGCTGCTGCCCATCCACTTCATTACTCCTCTAGAGGTACATCTTTCAAATTTTCCCTGTTTTATATGCTGCCTCTAAGCTAGGGCTGTGCTGACTTGACTGAATACTCAAATACTCAATCGTCATTCGAATATCAGAATAGCAGTGTTTTGTTAATTAAAATATTCAAAATATGTGAGAGGTCTTGAGAAGATCGTGAAAAACTCCTACGATGTCCCTTTAACCCTAACCTTCCTTAATCCTCCAAAGTCCGCCGGGTGTTTTGGAGGATTTAAGGATGAATTCAACTTATAATTTTTGAGGATTTTGAAGGATTGAGGCATAGTCCAAAGTCTCATTGGTCAGATGTCTCATTGGCCCGACGTACCATTGGTCCGACGTCCCGTTGGTCCGACGTACCGTTGGTCCGACGTCCCGTTGGTCCGACGTCCCGTTGGTCCGACGTCCAATTGGTCCGACGTCCCATTGGTCCGACGTCCCATTGGTCCGACGTCCCATTGGTCCGACGTCCCATTGGTCCGACGTCCCATTGGTCCGAAGTCCCATAGGTCAGTCAACCTGAACCAGTGGAACTACACAGTATTATGTTTCATCAGACCAATGGGGCGTCGGACCAATGGGACGTCGGACCAATGGTTCGTCGGACCAATGGTTCGTCGGACTATAGAGATGTCCCCCAAGAAACAGGGGAGGAACAATGACAAAGGATTGCCTTTGCCTTTGAAAATTCATTGCCTGTGATGCCTTGGGATGATTCGATAACAACTCTTCCTTACTACTGTGGCTAGGAATCAGTCTATTTTGCTATATATTGTTGTTTTTCCCAACGTGTACATTGGTTTTCCAAGTGTTTTTTTTTCTTACTCAATTATTTTGCATAGTTGGGCTCTGAGGAGCGACTCTTGAACGAGTGGTTTGACTGCTGCTACACCACGGGCGGGGTCTTCGTCGCGCAGCAGGTGCACCACAAGCGACGGCCCGTCCTGATTGGTCAGATGGTCGAGGAGTGGCTCCAGCGATATCGAAGGATCGCCCAGCAGCTCTGACGCTAGTAGGCTCGTCGACCAACGAATCATCGTGAGCATCTCTCCCAAATTTAGTCGCAACAAATCTTATATATTTCTTAGATTCTACGATAAGTATTGTACATCAGGTCTCTAATGTGTTTGCCTGCGGAAGGCAAAAATGAGTTTTAGCACGAGTGTATTTTGAGGTGAGATTCTACAAAAAAAAATAATAGTGTATTTTTTCGAGCATGAGTGGAGATGAGTGAGATTTTGTGGAGTGGTCAGGTATTTTCAAAATTATTATCTTATCTAGGTTAGATGTTTTGGATGTGAACAGGTTTACAGCATTTACCCCTCGTGCAAAATGGAATTTCCCTTGATTTGTATGCGAAGCTTTAGAACTTTTACATGTAAGCCATCTTCATCTGGGGCCAATTTCACGGCGCTGCTAAGCACAAAAATTTGCTTAGCACAAAAAAAGTCTGGCTTATAAAAGCAGGTTACCAGCCAAATTTCCATTTGATGTATATTGCTTGTGATTGGTATTCAGCTGTTGTTTGCTTTATAGCATAAAAATCACATGGAGTTTTGGCTGGTAACCTGCTATAGTAAGCCAGACTTTTTTTGTGCTAAGCAAATTTTTGTGCTTTTGTTTAGCGATTAGGCCAGACTCATATGCTGCTGTGGGGGGATCGCCACACCTCCTCCACAGCGAGTCTGTTACCTAATTCCCAGCTTTGAATAATGCCGGTACCCATTTAACATTTGGGTTGAGAGGAGTAATTGAGGTAAAGCGCCTTACTCAAGGGTACAACACGCATGGCCATGATGGGGCTTGAACTCGCAACCTCTCGATCAAGAATCTTGTGCTCCACCGTTAGACCACACGTGCCCCTTAAACTTAACGACCTTGTACGTCACATGTCGGGCATACGCACGCAGAAAATTGGCCTTCTGTTGGGAACATTTGGACTGAGTTGTGGGGCTTTCGAGTGTCCCTACAACGTTTCAGGTCCCCCAAAACCTAAAGAAAACTGTATGTGGTCCCCTGAATTCTGTGACAAATCTGTGTGAACTGGCAAGGTCTCTCCTTGACATCTTCCAACTAATTTTGAGGCTTCTCCCCAGTGTTGCACATTACGATGCTAATTTTACTAGCAATGGTTAGTGCCCATGCTTGCTCATGCATATATGCCAAGTTTTTCTGCCGCAATATTTGAATCTTATAGATTTTGTGTTTTGACCCACGATGGGTGCTGCGTGAGTAAAGTATGTTTCGTGCTGAGTAATAGGCCGTGTCCAAATTATCTGGCTACGGCTGGATTTAACACATGGGTCTATGAGAAGTGACTGCAGCCGCTTCCATAGGCGTGGGCGTAAGTCACAGCCATAACAAAATAATTCGTACACGGCCACACTTTCAGAAAGTAATTTTTTTTGGAGAATGTCTGAACCTGAAGCAAATTTAAATGCTGTTTTAAGCAGAATGAACACCATTTCAGTTTTATTTGAATTTTTTTTGTGCCAGTCATGGGGCGAAATATTTATTGAGTTGCAACGTGCTCGACTGGCAGTCTGCATCGTTTTGAGGTATATTTTGCGAAGTCGGAATTTCTGCTTAGTTGGGCCTCATTTCACAGCTATGCTAACATAGTCTCCATCTGTTTTGTGGTCACCATAAGCAGTAAGCACGCAGAACTGAATGCTTACTTCAGAGGAAAAGGCTGCTTAAATTAACGATGTAAGAATAGAAATCTCCATGTGAGTGCAACCACCAGCACATCCATGCCATGCAATAGTGCTTAAGGTGAGCACGATATTCTGCTAGAGTTAGCACAACTTTTCTGCTTAACTTGTTAAGCAGTGCTGTGCAATTGGGCCCAGCTCTGCAACAGTAATCCCCAATTTTTTGTGTGATTTGAGACCAAGAGACGTTGAATTGTGTTCAGTCATCCCTGTGCTAAGTTTCACCAAACAACCGGTATTGTAACTGAGATTCAGCGCCAACTCCAGTTGCGTATCACCACAAAATGTAATCAGTTTATCAAGGAAACAAAGACAATGCAAGCCTTGTAAAGCTGGTCCCAGAGTGCACAGAATTCTATTCAGACAAGAAGCCTGTGCGGTATTTCAACTGCGCATGCGCACAATGATTTGAGCCACAAGTCACTCGGGATAATGGATCGCTCATCGAAGTCGCACGACGCTCGCGCGTTAATTGCGAGCAGAATGGGGGTTCGCGTAACGTTGCGTAACTGTGTCAGCAGTTTTACCCAGAATGACCTTTGACCTGGACTACTTCGTCGAGATACGGAACTGGCTTCTTCAGAACGGCTATTCACTGGAAGTATTTTCATGTATGAGACCGACGCAGTGGGCCAGATTTAGCCAAATTTACGGGGGAATCCTATTTCAAAACTTTTGGGCTAATGTGAGACTTAAACAAGTCTAATACGCAAGTCAGGTGCAAAGAGGACCATGGGCTCCGTGCGCAAGTACCCCCTCAACGTCAAGAAAGGGAGAGTTGGGGGAGACCATCGGGAGAGAAATTCAAATGCATACAATACAAATGTATTACCGACGACGCTTGACACGCGCTTTGTAAACATTCAGCATAACATACATGTAAGTCGTGCGTACTTTGCAGTATACGCGCGCAAACCAGAACGCATACGCATTGCGTCCCATCCACGGGGCTTTCCAAAGTGGTAAAAAAGCGCCCTCTCTTGTTGGTGCATGGAGCCCAAAGGCTGGATCTAGCAAAAACAACACAGCATGCAAGTTGTATTTATTCGTTGGAAGTGCATAGCACACAAATCAGTGAGCTTTTTTCACATTAAGAAATGTGGTAGATTTTGAGTAAGAAGTGGTTGAGGATTTCTTTTAAGTTAACAAGGTATTTTAAAAAAGACCAGCTTCGGTTCAGAAGCTGTCTGCTTCTTAAATTATCAGAGTTTGATATTACATTTCGCTTTTTTTATATTATTATTTTGATTCAATTTCAGGCTGCCTTGCCATGTAGAATATTTATTTTGTTTTAATGAGTCAGCACTCTGCAATAGTTGAACTAACTTCAGCAAACTTTGTCGATTTTAAATTTAATTTGGGATTTTTGTTATAATTTAGATTTTTTGTTTTGGTTTTTTAAAGTCAGGGGAAAAAGCGATTGACATCTGAATACATTGTACACAAACACTGGAATGTTTTTATTATTTGTCTGTTTTCTTGTAGCCACGCTTCCTAGCAATTTGCTTATTGCATTGATTATGATCTCCAAGCATAACAATGCTCCACAATCGCTGAAACTATTCTGTTAAACTTACAATGTATCAGAGCACCATACATGTATCTTTTGTGCTGCCAAACTACGGTGTGTTTCTCTCTACGCAAAAAGTTGCAATGGATTTTGTGCACATTCCATTGAAAATTGGTCACAGTCACAAACTTGAGCTAGGGGTGTGCATCAAAACTGGGTACCCAGGTTCCCAGCCGCTGATGTCAGGAAACGGTTCCAGATTATGGGATCGGGTACCCGTAACCAATTTTACAAATTACTTGGCAACTTCTAAGGCAATGCAAAAGAAAGATGTTGAACGCCATTTGTGGGCAATCTTGAAAATGAAAGCCAGGCTACATGGAAAACCTATGTGCATTTTTAAAGGCAGGACAGATGACGCTCGTGAAAGCTGCAGTTTGCACCGTAAAGCTATAAAGCCCTTTAGACAACTTCCAGGATTTGAAATTTGGGGTTGGGCTTCTTTTATGGCTACACAGGTATCCGTACTACCCCTAAATGCACACCTCTAGCGTAAATCAGTGCACGCATCCTGCACAATGCGATCTTTCAGTGGCTCTTGGAAGTATGCCATAGAGTTCCTAAGTATACTTTCAATATTTCCTTTGCAAACCAAAAATTAACGTATTGGCTTGTTACTCCACCAGGAGAATATTTTCAGATAATTAACAAGCAAAAGCAATAGTCTTGGATGGTCTCACAGTAACTTATATCACATTGTTGTGAGTTTGTGGACAAGTATTCATGATACACACCTGAACAAAAAATGCTCCATTTTTTTAAAAAATTTTTGAAAATCTTTAACAAAACCCTTTTTTTTTGGGGGGGGGGGAATTCCAACAAGTTAGCTAAGTCTCTGTAAATGGAACTGTGTGAAATACCATAACTTACACAAAAAACATCTACCATTTTAGCAGGTTTTCCAAATCCACACTCTGCAGTGGAAAAAGGAGAACACAATTGTCGTTTTTTTGAGTTTGAGTGAATTTGCATGCGAGTGTTGGCGTACCTAAACACAGTGCACGCGTGTCCTTTAATTAATGTTATTTGAGAATATACGTGTCATTCACTAAAAAAAACTACACAATCCAAAAGTACATGTACATCCAAAAGTCAAATGGGAAGTATATGGGTGTTTTTATTTTAATATCGTACTTCCTGTACACAAAATACTTCCATGTACTTTCGTTTTCCCTCTCAATCGATGAGGTGTCATGCACTCGAGCATCATACTTTTGTGAAAACATCATTATTCAGGGAGTGGTTTCCGTATGTGACTAGCTTTCGTTATTGATGATTTTTTTTTTTATACAATTGTGGTACAGTTGAAGTGTATCAGTCTCATTATTATGAATGCACATAGGCCTACCTTTTTGTAACAACGTCTGAAAACTGAGAATATTTGTTTTGTTGGAAAGTGTTCGTGTCCATACTCAAGACGTGACCCTTTCCGTTTTCAATTAATAATCGTGTCAAGAAAATATTACCAAAAAAAAAATATTGTGGATTGTGCACACACATCATGACTTGGAAAAAAATGTGGCTGTAGTATTGGTCATGACTTTTTGATATATTATCAGTTTTGTCGGTAGGATGGTGGTATAAGTTCACTTTAATCAGTTTGGAATTTTTTTGGTGGTGTGATTATCCTGATCTTAGTTCACAGTACACGGCGTGGTTTGATGTGGAAAGTTGCTTGAGTGCTTTGGAAATTTCGGTGGTATAGCTCTGACTTTAAATTCATCTGATTCTAAACAGGTGGTGGAAAACTGTCGGATTAGACTGCGTGGTTAATTGAAGCGGGAAGGGGAGATTTTTCCTGTCAATTTTTTTTGTCTCAAAAAATCTAGAGGCCGCCTTTTTACTTCTTCAAATGCTCCATTCTTTGTAAACACAAATTAGGCACAAAAATGCGTGTGCTGTCCAGATGCAATCGATTTGTTATGCCATTAACAACGAAATCTACGCACTGCAAGTTTTCCTCACAAACTATTGCATTTAGAAAGCCAAATTAACACTATTATGCAACTAAAATAGTTCACAAACATATTAAAAGACAGTGTCAAGTAAATATATTCTGTTGTCTACTTTCTGATTTTAGAATTAATACATTTTTTTTAAACCCACTTGTTTGTTGAAATATCATCACACAAAATAAAGCTGAACACGATATTTATTGGATGACATTTGTTTCTGGAAGATATG